GTATGATCTATATGATATGACAGTGAATGTAATTTTGTATGTCTTGTTTGCCAAGGACGTCTATTACATTTTCTATGTGACGAAGCTGCATTTTATTTTCCCTGCCTGAGACTTTGGAACATGCTGAGCTGTTAATAATGCGCTTGATTGGTGCCCCTAATAAAGGCACCTCCTTCATTTTAGCCAAAGGGGACAATAGAATCTGCCAAACAAGGACCTGCTGTATCAGAAATTTAACTTGATTTAGAAAGATCTAGGTTCGGAAAAACTCGTGCGACATACACTGGGGACTGCAACCCACTGTCGGCTTTCCTGACCATCTACCATTCGACTTAATCTACAGTATGTCAAAATTTATTAAAATCATCCGACTATTGGATACATACAGATTAAGAAGCCCTGCAATAGATTCAGCGCAAGCACACAGAACGTGACGAATTTGGACGCAAGACACACTGCCTCAGGCAGGCACAGCAATCTTCGGATATTGCCACTTGGACCCACTTGGCGCACCCTCTCCAGACCTTGACTCAGCTCCACAGCCAGGCATGGGCGAATGGCGAGGCCTTCGAAATGCTGGTGACTCAGATTGCGCCGCTTTCAACGCTGTGCCCATGCCATGCCGCAGTGCCCATCCCTGCCATGCCAGGTCTTGTCCACCGCTCTGCGACATCTCGTCGGGGGCTGTGATTTTGTAAAGCGCAGGGACAGATGATGAAAGTTGATGTGGGCAGTCCAAGAGTCTACAATCGTGAGATTCAAACATATTCAAGCATATTCAAGCCTGAAGATCAAATTCATGGTTTGATGTGCCTTGAGTGCCTTGAGTGCCTTGAGTGTTCGGACCTTCGGCTTGTTGTTCCCGTTCTTCCCGTTGTTCCCCCTGAGAACCTTTGCCACCCTGAGGACTTGGACTCCTCTCCAACGGCACACATTCCTGGTGTATTCAGCCAGACGGAGAAAGCTAGCAGAGTGTTCCGTGTCTGCACTAAATCACATGAGATTGGGAAGTTGGATGAAGTTGGATGAAGTTGGATGAAGTTGGATGAAGTTGGATGAAGTTGGATGAAGTTGGATATTTCCTGAAGTCTGCTTGCAATATTTGATGCAGATCATTTGCATCTGAATTCACGTATCTGGGTTAAAATGGGTACAGAAAAAGAGACTCAGCTTAGCATTCCTTTGCAAGTGATTATTCATGATCGTCTTCTTATTGTCAATTCCCCTCTTGCCGGTCGTTACCAGTATTTCCTTCAGGTTGCTTTCAGCTCGTGTGAATCAGGTTTGTTCCACCAAACACATTTCCAGACAGAAAATGATATTAACTTTGATTGAGAATCAACAACTCATGTACATTCAATATCAGTATTTATTTCACATATTTTCACATTATGTCCCATGTCACGTAGTAATTCCTTTAACCTTGATGGATTGCAGATGGATTGTCTCCGTGTCTCCCGTGTCTCCGTGTCCGGTCGTGTAAGGAATTCAAGGATGAGCGATGGCGAGGCCATGCAGGCGGTCTTTGGCGTTTCCTGGCGCATGGCGCGAAGCTCAGAGCCCTGGAGCCGTTGAAGCCGTGCACAGATGCAAAGGGCAAAAAAGGAAGAGAATATCAAGGAATATAATTGGAATATAAATCTATATCTATATCATTCTATATCCATATCTATATATATATAATATATATATATTTCATTCCACTCTGTCTGTGACCGTCTTGCAGTCGCCTGCATGCACCATGGGACACAAAAGCTCTTGGTGAGCGACCCATGTCTGTTGCTCTCAAATTAACAGAGGCTTTTCGTTTCACCCTTTAGGTGACTACTGAGTCCTCTGAAATCTTTCCAAACTTGTAATCCGAGCACATTTTTGTGCCCTTCGCTTCTAGCCAATAAGGGTCATAGGAATTCGCCAGTGCATCCAATGCTTGTTCCAAACCTTCCGGTTCCTGGGTTGTTCCCTCCCCAATTTGCTGCTCAGCGAAGGCAATGTGCTGCTGCGCTAGTATGCGGCACAAAGCTGGTGGATATGCCTTTGCACGGGCCGTTTTCCACTGGGAGCCTTCACGGCCCCCAAGCTTTGTCGTCGGCCGCCATCGCTTGTTGTAGCCTTCATAGATGGCCGCCCCCAACCTTTCCAACCTCGCTGCCAGAAGATTGGTTGGTTTGGCGAATGGTTGTCCCAACGGGCCTTGAAGTATTGCCCAGAGCTTGATGTCCCCTGCCAACATGAGCTGTTTGATAAAGGATGAGTCCCATATGGTCCACTTGTTGTCCTTACCTCCACAGCCCTTTGGGTGTTCCAGGGTGAATGAGCCTCCATATGCGTAGATGGTGAAAAGGAGAAAAAGAGCACGCCACATCAAGATGTTTCCCATCATCCACTGCCGTGTCTCTCTCAGCGTTCTTCCATCCAATCCCCAAGGCTGTTCACAACTCCGCAAAGGTCTTGGATAAATGCTGTCTTCAATTTCCAACCATCTGGCCAAGGAGTATGTCTCGCATGGGGGGCCAGCGTGCCCCCCTGCGACTCGTCTGGCATGAATAAGTGAACGCCACAACCCAATCTCCAGGACATTGCCAAACTCTGGGTGGATGGCAACATCCACACAAATCGGGATTAAATTTGATTGCCACCAAATGTATGAAGCCAGATCCTCGAAACGACGATGTCCTGAAAAAAGGATCAGGAAAAAACGCCTTCCATCTGCCGGCCCTCTAGGGATCCAATCCGGATTCGGATTCCATCTGGTGGCTCTGTCAAGGAGCTGATGCTCAAATTTGGTTGCTTCTTGTCCCACAGATGCAAAGGGCAAAAAAGGAAGAGAATATCAAGGAATATAATTGGAATATAAATCTATATCTATATCCATATCTATATATATATATTGAATTTGTTTTAATTCAATTATGAATTAATTTGATACCTAATTATGCTGGCAAAAACATAGAATAACTTTGTCAGTTGAATCAGTTGGGTGAGCAACCCTCTTTTGGCAGCTTTCAGAATTTTCACAGGCTTGGAGCCGGATTGTGGAAGCTCTCTACGAGGACATGCGGAGCTTGTCATGGGCTAGAGGGAGGTTGTGAAGTCTCAGCATTGCTTTGTCGGATCAAAGTTTGCGTGTTTTGGCGCTTCAGTCGTCACTCGGGCTGAGGCATTTTTAGGATGTTTAGGCAGTGTGCGCAACATAGCGCGCACTTGCACATGCCAATTCATTCAGACTCATATTGTTGCATCGGAGGTGATGTGCCAATGATATTTTTTTGATGCTCTGACTCTTCGTCCCCTTTTGCAACTTTGGTTTGTGGAGCTGCGCCCATCGAATGGCGAGAATGTTTACACTGTTGGACTTGATGCCCGGGTTTGTTCCATCAGGACCATGTGATATCTTCGGACCAGGCAAATGCAATGGTAAAGGCCGTCGCTCCATCGCTTCATGGTAAGCCGGGACATTACTTTCATAAAAAAACGCTAGACGCGATTTGAGGCAAGAGGGCAAGTTTAGCATTAAGACAAACCTAGAGAGACCGCAGAATGTCAAGTAAACCTGTTAAAGGAGCTGCTCCAAAGAGTCTTCTGTATTTTGAGCGTTTTGTCGTCTTCATCCCTTGTTTGCATTCATTGCTTTCCTGCAGGCAGCCAGCACAGTCCACTGGGATGACGAGAAAGGGATGAAGACGGTGGCCTTGAAGGGCTTGACACCCGATCAATTTAGCAGGCAACAAGCGCTCATTTGTCATGCCCTCTCCCGCCCTGTCATGCCCTTTGGAATCCTGTGGACTGAGCATGCATGGGCGTCATATATATCTTTGTCCCTTTCGAAACATTACATGAGAGGGGTAACCTCAGTTTCAAAGCAATTTGCATGATGTTCTGCTATTATCATTTATTGTCAAAAACTTCCAAATGAATCATTTCAATTCATGAATTCATAGATCCAATTGATCCAAATGACAGGCTGCGATTCACCGCAACGCAACTACGCAATGGGATCCCCGCAAAGCGGAGTCCTCGGAGCAATCTCCCTTGGCCGACTCGGACATGGCTCGGACATGACTCGGACACTTGCATCCTGCAGACAACAGAGACTGCCAAGAGACTGCCAAGGGATGCAAGCAAATTCGGAGCTCTTAGCAGATGTATTTCTGCCTTGGAGGCTAACTGGAAGGGCCACATGAAGACAGATGAAGACAGAAGAAGACAGCTCTAGCTAAACACACTGGGTCCTGGGACTGGGAGTCCGAAAAGGATTTCCCACAACTTGGTGGTGAAACTGCCAGGTCTATGTGCGGACTCCAGAAGGTGGCCATAAAAGGCCAGAACCTTGGCACGCCACCCGTGTAAACCATCCATGTAGAATGGTGACAGAGCTAGTTCACGTCGTTTCGACAGAGAACTCAGCGTCGCGTCGAACAGATTTCCATTGTCGTTCGTGTCTTTTTTTTAAAACTGATACTGGCATATAAAGAAGTCCTCCATGCATGTGCAGGCACACACACACAAACAAACAGAGAAGTTTCTTTGAACTATTTTGAAATGGCGATTATCCAATCTGCTCCAAAGGCAGACTCTCTCCAAGATCGAAAACTTCACCGTTGACTACCCTTTGGAATCTTGTCTGCAATCCTGGCAGTCTTCCGTTGCTCCGCTTTGCATAGCCTGATGTACCTTGGTGACTTCCAAATCTTTGCCGGCAAAGTGAAGAGTGAGTGACCATGCTTTGCTTGGCACAACATGAGCAGCTCAATGCTCAGCTGAATGGATGCTGTCATCTTAGGAAACTGAGGCCTGGGTGACTGAGCAGCCGGGTTCGACAGAAACTCATGAAGGTGGTTCAAAATAATGTCTAATGATAATGCTAAGGACAAGGATATACAGATGATCTGAAAGGTATTTCGGGATTACTGCAAGTCTTCTATCCTTCCTCTTTGACATGTCCTTGAATCTTCGGATCGCTTTTTCTGGTTTTGTGTCTTCACCAACGACCAACAAACATGTGCCAGGAATTGCGGGAGAAGCTATTGCAGGACTTGCAGGCCGAGAAGAGTCTTGATGCGATCGTGTCGGTTCCAGTGCCTTGGCTGTGGCTGTGGATAGCAACCCTAAAGTGAGTGAAGACTCTCATGTGAGCCGCCTGGGAAAATCATAGTTTCCTTCATTCTACTCTTTGCGTCAAAGGCCAAAGACAGAGTTTTCAGGCTCACAATAGCCAAATCGATGCACTGTTCGGCCTTGGCTCCTATATATAGATGCTGCTTGAAGATCAGTGCTTCGGGATTTGTTCCGGACTTTGCTCTTCCCTTTTCGAAGCGTTTCGCACCTAAGGATTTTGACTTGCCACCAAACAGCAGACTTCTGGCAGTATTACCTGTGGCTGATGGAATCGAGCCAGAGCTAAGCGATACGTTCAGCAAGAAGATGTCCATCAGAGGATCTGCGCCCAAGGAGCTGATTGGGCTTTCTTGAAATGGGGGATCCCCAAAACCATGGGTTTCAATACTAAAATGGTCTGATTTGGATGATTTGGGGGACCCCCATTTTAGGAAACCTCCATATGTTCACGATGTTCATATCAAATCCAGGAGGAGATCATCGAGGACTTGCGCAAAGTTACACTACCTGCTTTGTTGGTCTTCCAGCGCGGTGGAATGACTTTCTCTGAGGCGGACATCTGCGGACATCTGCGGACATCTGCGGACCTGCAGCGAGTGCCATGGGATGAGTTGAATCTTGTTGTATCAATTTGTATCATGTTTTATCACACGGCCATTCCAGGTGGAGTTGGCATTGGATCCCCCTGCGAGTGTGAAATTTCTGTCGTTCCAGACTGGCAAGGACTAGAGCTGTTTCGTTTAAAGAGTGCCCACAATTTATGCCTACATGAGTATTGCCCACGCTGCTACCTCAGCATGCCAAGAGCTTCTTCCCAGCTTATAAAATTTATAGATATTAAGCTGATTAAGCTGATTAAGCTAGGATTCTTTGAGCCAGAAATGCTGTTACATGTTAAAAAACAAGTCAGGAGTTCAAGTCATTTTTTGGAGGGAGTTCCATGTGCAAAGAATCGATGCATATCCTGCCCGTTATTTGAAGAGCCCATTGAACTCCAGGACGATCCTGGCTTGGACCCAGTCTGCTGGAAGGCGCTGGGTCACTACTTGGCCAACTTGAGATTCAAACTTTAAGCCTACATCATATTGACATATTTTGACACATGGTATTGTTGCACATTATCTAGGTCCTGGTTGGACATTGTTTTCTAGAATCCATACAAAGCTAGTCAGACCTGTTGCTCGGCGTGCAGAGCTTTGGAAGGTGGAAGGCTTTGTCAAAGACAAGGACGGAGACGCTGGACAATGGAAGCAGCTGGTTTGTCTAGACAAGCCCTATTTGCCTCCCAGCAAGCGCCAGATCCTTTGCTGCATGGCCTGTTGACCAGATCGACACCTAATGGTTAAACAAACATGGTTAAGCGGCACATGACATCGACACAGAGCTTGCTGGCCATTTATGGGGCTTGTTGAAGGCTTGATGCTCTTTAAGAGGCATTTTTGATGCGGCTCCCTGTAATGTTTCAACCTTGACCAGACAGGGCAGGGGGAACGGAGGAGGTCATTGACTATTTTGTGTTTCCTATTTCCTATGTCCCCTTTCCTTTTTGCACTCTGGCCGTTCCCGCCAGCCATACTCGTACTGTACATTCTCAGACAGGTTTCACACGTGTTTGACCGCATACCTTCAGATATCTTAGAATATTTCTGCTACTGTTTTCACCAAGGCAAGATATGATTATGGTCTTTGACGTGGAATATTGGCGAACGGCTGGCAAGGTGCGTGGGTTGTGACACTCTTGACAAGGGTAAGTGCCGGTGTCACCTTTGGCTCGATTGCGCGGTTTCAGGCTGGAAGCATCACCCTGCAATCTTTCCTGCCGGTGGTGCAAGAGACACTCGCTCTTCACAGCTTTCACATTTTAAATATTTTTAAATGACAGATGATCTCAGATGTTCAGCCGGTTGGCTTTGAAACTGACACCTTGGGATGCCAGATTTCTCCGAGGCGCCTGAGCTTCTTCACGGCATCGCTACGGAGCCTTGCGAGTTCCAAGAAGAACTACAGCCTGAGACTGAGATAAGACGACTGAGCATCGAAGAGCATTGCTGGAGTAGATCCTGTGATGTCCAATGTTCTGGTTTGGCTAGAAATCCTTCCCCACGGTTTTGAGCTGGAATTCCTGGCAACATGGGCCAGAGCGCCAGAGAGTGCCGGAAATCAACATGCCGCACATGCCCAAAACTAGTGCCTCTCTGTGAAAATGTGCAAATAAGGCATACGTCCTGGCATTGACACGCTGCTCGATAGCCACGTTGGGAACATTCCGTCCTTGACACAGGCCGTTCAGCAAAGATTCCTCGATGCAATGCTTGGATAGTAGGGTTGTAGCCTTGCTGCTGTTGCATGTGATCGCAAGATCAAAACCACGTGGTCTTTCCGTGTTTTTGTTTGACATCTATTTTCAAAGCCTTCAGAGGTAGCCCTCCATCACTCAGGAAAGGAGAACTCAGCAGTTGACAGATTGAACTTGCTACATTCCATTACAGTGTCCATTGCATTCCGATGTTTACAGAAGCTTCAGACTCTATCTGAATCTTTCCAGGTGATCCCTTGCTACAGCGAGACCGTGATCCTGAGCAAGCAGTTCCTAGAAGATGTAACTTGGCATGGACAGAAGTTGCCTCCATGAATTAAAACAACTGGTAGCTGGATGTAGCTGGGAAGATCTGGGAAGCATGTGCATCTCTACAGCTCTGGTTGCAAGGAGGATGGGGTGAACACCAATCTCGGCTTCATCATCTCTCAATTTCCGGAAGAGCGACCCGTCAGAATTCCTTCTGTCATTGCCAGAGCCGGCCGTTCCGAAGTCCGTCTGTGATCAACCCTTGCAACAGCTATTGAACAGCACTCAACAGCTATTTATATAACAGCCTTCGGCGATATCAACGTATAACAACGGAGGTTTGTCTTCTTGTAATCATTTGTAATCGCTGCATGGAAGCCTTTTCGCCTGAAGTTATGGCACGGGAAAGCGGTGGGGAAACTATCCTGAGGTGGCGTTTCTTCTGCGAGCGGCACAGCTATTCCGCGAAGGAGTTGACCTGTTTGGTACTCGTATTTGAGATGCAGAGTTCGTTCCTGTGTACACACGACTGCCATGGATTGCCATGGTAATTATCTTGCTGTGTTCCATTCTGTTGGAGCATACTGCAGCATTCATTTTACTCGTATGGTGTCAGAACTGTTCTATGCTCTTGATATTTCGGTCTTCTTGCATCTTTTTGCGATTTGTTTCAGTTGAATGCTACGCTTGGATTTGTGCACGAGCTGTTCGCACTGAACGAATCCATTTATCGCCATGGATGTTCTTTGTTTTGGGTTGGTTGAGAAAGGAAGAGGTGATGACTTTAAGATCATTGAATGCACCTTTAAGCCTTAAACGACGGGCCTGCTTACCTAGTTTGCATGAAAAAAGAGTGACTCAGAACATCAGCTTAGCAAATGTAACAATTGTAACAGCTTGTCGCATGTCCATGTCCTCATGCAAGTCCTTTTCTTCCCGGAACTGCACAGAGTGCGCAGCTTTTGAACGAAACGGCCGATTTAGAACGGCACACATTCTGTGCATCACATCTTTTTCACGACACTCCCAACGGCTTCTTGCAGAACCTGCTCCCGACCCCTATTAGAAAAGGGAAAAGCAAATGAGACCTTAGTTAAGCTAGGGAGGGCTACAAAGTAGCTTACCCCTGCTGATCAACGGCGCGAGGATATGTACGACGCCTTCATGGGTCGCGATCAGAGTGAAGCTTTGTCGCCCAAGCTATGTATGGAGGCGCCAAATTTGTTCACTGATAGATTGAATATGATTAAATATGATTAAATTATATAGCCTATAATATAGCCAATGGCAGATTGACTGAGTGCCGCAATTTATCTTTTCATCAGGTGAGGATGTGGGCATCGATGCGATCGCAGACTGTGGCAAGGACCCTTGGGTTTCAATAAATCATTCACAATAATTCGTTTCCAATTTATGATAACCTATGATTCTGATGTGCTTTTCTTCGCTCTCTGACAGTTTTGGTAGCATTCCGGCAGCATTCCCGTATTTTTTATGCTCCAAAGACAGATGAATGTGCTCTTCCTCCATACTTGTTCTAGCAAGAAAAGTAGAGTTTGTGCTTTTCCAATGCGTGGCACACGGCCATGGGACCGTCAACTCCAACATGCCAAATTGGATCAACAGCCTCAACAGCCTCAACAGCCTCAACAGCCTCAACAGCCACCATTTTGAGAAGCAGCAGACATTTGACCCTGGGTCAAAAAATCGCGTTGCATTGCTCCATATTGTGACAACAAGCCTTTTCTATCCTTTTCTGATTTCGATGCCATTGTGAACCTGCGGCGGAGGACAGTGGTAGGTGCCATGCAGTACCAAGAGGCTTGACTGTTTGGTGAGAGAAAAGCAAGGCACTGTTTCGCGATTCCAAGCGTCAAGCACCACAGCTGTGAGTCTGACATAGCCTGATATCCAATTCTTGTTGAACCTTGCTGACCTGGTAACATAATGTAACATAGCTGATATAGCTGTGTTTGTTGGATTTTGTTGGGGCTTTTCTTTTTCGGCTGGTTATGTTCCATCTCCTGTTCCCGAGCTTGGAAGGTGGTCGCGCTGTTGCCAAACGTTCAGGCATCAAGGCATCCAGAACAGGCCCTGGGGCTTCGCAGTTGGCGAAGGGAAGAGATGTGCGACATGGCGTCCTTGCATCACTACATCTCTTGTGCAGCAGAAAACATATTCTGCATAAAATGTTTTGCCCCCCAAAGGCAGAGGACTGCTGAAGTTATTCCGAGTTTTGGCTGTTGCAATTAATAAACAGCCTTTGGACGAGGCGCTTGAGCACTGTGTAGAGCTGGTGCTCGCACATCAGACCTACGGAAGCAAGGTGCAGTTCTCAAATTCAATTCGCTATTTTTTTGAGAAACAATGAATTTGCCCAGTACTTGTCAACAAAGTGTTGAAGTCCAGGAGGAATCGAAGCCAAGATCCAAATTCTATTGTCCAAGCATATATGCATTGTCAATAGGATCTCTGCACTTGGAGATCTCACTTGGGCGCTATGCGTAAGCGTGTACTTCCATGAGCCATGGTAGAGCCGTGATGGCGCAAGGCTGGTTCTGAAGAGAACGATCAGGCCGTGCGGCAACTTGTATGAAGACATCGCATGCTTTCTTGTTGTGGGTCAGATGTCAGTTTCATTCATACCAGACACGATGGCTAAGCCATGTCAAGCCAACCTTTTTACGACCAAGGTATTTGCTCTCCAAATATCAGGATCGGAGCTTTTACCTGGTCTTTGACTTTGACCTTGAAAAGATACGTACAAACCTTGTTGCAGCAGTACAAAGCTTCGTCCGACAGAAGTGCTCCAGCCAATTACACGTGTATTCCTTTAATGTGCAATGCATCGTCTTGATTCAATATGAACAGCAATACTGATCAATACTGTACATTTCTCTGGGCTTCTGAGAATTAGACCGGAACCACAGTGGCTTCCCTGTTTCTGTGTTTGTGGCAATTTGTGGCGCCGTTGAGGTAAAACTCTTACAGACGTCGCTTGTGGGTCGTGTTTTTTGAGTGCCAGCACAGTGGCTTGTCAGAAAAGGTACTCCTACGATCGGCCCATCAAACATGCGTCCTGGCCTCAGCTCAGGTGAAATGCCAACAGTGCTATAGCTGCTATGCATGCTGATTCAATGCTGATTCAATGTTGATTCAATGTTGATTCAATGTTTCTCTGGCTGATTCCGCATGGCTTGCAGCGACTTGCACTTGCAAGGAGTGTGTTGGCGCGCTTTCGCTCTGGCAGAACGTCTTCAGAGACGGTGCCTGAGGAGTGCCTGGAGCTGGTGGAAGTGCTGCCGAGGCGCCTTAGAGATCCTTGTGGTCGTGCGACATCCAAACGCAACACATCATCTTGATTTCATATTGTATACTGTATATGAAAGATCAAATGCACTTTGCATAACTTTGCATCATATAATATATCATCGATGTTATAGAGTCATTTTGGGTACCAGAATAGCAAGAACTATATAATGGGTCTCTTACACTACGTAGAGTTGGCAGCATGTAGAGTTGTCAGCGTCCACCAGCAGAATTAGATATACTGAAGCAGATGCAGAAGCAGATGCAGTATTGAATCTGCCGTTGGCCAAATACTTGGCCAACTACTTGGTACGAAATTGCAGTGGTCCACAGTACATTGTCATATTGTTTTCTTACTTCGCTTTACTTCTCATGTTTTTTCGAATCAACGACAGTTTTTGGATCCAGCCCCAAGGGCCACCGAGCAGCGCTTGTGTGACTGCAGGTGCTTCCCACTGCTGGTGGGCACGCCAGGCTTCATGACACAAGGCAAGGCAGGAAACCAACTGGGGGCATTGCGCTTCTCTCGCGGCCACTTTTTGCAGATGATGGATGCCGCTTGCCGAAATATCAGCCTCGAAGACTATGAAAGTTTCTGGAACACTAATTGAGTCGTGTCCACTGCATTCTGGCAACATTTTGATCATTTTGTCATATTTTGTCGGTCTGGTATGTTTGCAAATCTAAGGCCAACATGGGAGCCTTTCTTGGCGAAGCGTGCAAGGTGCCCTTCATCCTGCGCCGCTTTCAGCCCCATTGGTCTGACAGGTGCCATTCAGCTGTAATTAGTGGTCATTGCTACCAATGACACAGTAATGACACCCAATGAATGTCGAAGAGAATTCTGCGGCAATGCAATGCTCTTACAAATCTGCGGAGCCTGTGTGATTTTTTTCTCGAACACCATTGCCTTTCGTCGGCATGCGAGGACCACTGTGAGGGCACGGATCATAGGCTTCCGAGAAACTTATCTATGGAGAGGATTTTGACATAATTTGACAATTTTTTTCACTGAATATATTGAGCATTGGAAAGCAACCACACTGTGGGCTAAGGAATTCATCTTTACGGAGAGTCACGGTGCTGTGGGAAGTGTCATGGCATCTGCTGAGTGGTCCTTTGGAACCATTTGTCAGTGTGAGGCTTGGTGAGGCTTAGCGGCTTAGTTTGAGTCACAGCGGATGGTGGAATCTATGCAGAATGAAATGACATCAGATCAGACAACTCACCGCCTTTTCCATGGCACTGAGGCGGTTCTTGTCTGGATTGGGCGCACGTGACTTGCGCTGCATAATAGGCTCAAGCTAGAAGCACGTTGCAATCCTTACCACCAAAGGATCCCAAAGGCAGAACTTCCAATGCTGGAAGATCCTATTCCAGCGGCTGCTTCAGGAATGCACTATGGCCATCCAGATTTTCTGGATGGATTCTGGGCCTCTAACCGTGGATCCCTTTCCAAAGCATCGCCTGCCATCAACCTCTCAGAGGACAGACTGCAGACCAATTGAGGTTTCTTCACATTGGTATTGTGACGGCTACAGACCAAGTGATAGCACATGCAAAAAACAACTGAAAGTAACTGAAAGTAACTGAAAGTAACTGAAAGTAACTACAGTAAAAATCACTAAATGTAATCGTGCAATCTGTGCACAGTTCGATAGTTAAACTCTCAGCGACGGCGCCATCTTGCCACTGACTCACCGTTCCTTTGCAATTGAGCGATTTTGGCAGCTCCAAAGGACATCTTTGCAGGGTTCAATGTGAGAATGCGAGGCCGCAAGTCTCTCTTTGCCTCCAGTCTCCACATCTCACAAGTCCGAATTCTCTTGCGCTCTATCCCTGTGATCTGGTGCTTTCAACATTTTCAATAGAACATACATAGCATGAAGATCATGAAGCATATTCGAGCGTATTCAGGGTTTTTCGAGCTCTTGCAAGCTATAAACCATTATAAACATAGCATTCGTTTTTTTCAGACTCTTCAAGACTCTTCAGGGATAGTGTAGCGTCATTGGGCAGGTGAAGCCTCGAAACACGTGGACTTCTTGGCTTGGGAGAAGGGGCGTGAATCTTCCTTCAATGCGGCCGCCCTTTTCTACACCAAGGCTGGACACCAAATCCGACAAATTCAAACGAGCACTCCTGCAATGTCTTGTGAAATTGGGAACTGTTGGGGTTGGCATTTTCGTGTCACATGCCCTCTACCCGATTCTACCCCTATTATTCCGGCTGTACTGGGTAACTTTTTGACAGAGGTTTGTGGCCACTGTTTTTGTGGGTCATTTTCTGGGTCCGCCTTTGGGATCCGTGCCGTGTCGGGTGACCTGCGAGGTCAGCAAAGGTAACGTGGGAGTGATGCGCTCGCGCGACTTGAAAGTGATCACACAGAGCCTTGTCCAAATCCACAAATGAATGATAATGAATGTATCTTGCCATATCTTGCCTGAGTTTCATCCACATTACATATGATTGACTGTCTTTTGATGCTGTAATTTGTTCACCTGGTGAAGTGTTACACTGTTACACCATGTTACACCGAGGAACATGAATGTGGCCAAGAGCTCAGTTTGATTTTGCGTGGAGGTAGCCTGGTAGCCTCATCAGAGCCATTGCCAGAATGAAAGAGTTTTGCCAAATCTGAAACCATAGTCAGCTACTCATCTACTCGAGTATCAGCAGCTCCCAGGTGGATAATTTCTCCTTCTACTTCGCATCAGCATCTTGGCATCTCAGATAGCGGAAGTTGCTGGACTGCCTTTGACATCTGACTCTTGGTATCTTGATTGGTATCTCTCTAGTTCTGCTTGTGCCCACCTAGATCGGTTTCTACTTGAACAATCTGCTGATTGATCTCTCCAGCACGCTCTGGACTCAGTGTTTCTTTCACTGCTTTGGTTTGGTGCCTCAACAAATCAGTGGGCACTCACCGTGAAGTATTGTGAAGCATCAGATTTGTGCCGGATCTTGTTGGGTTTCTTGGAAAAATTGCAGAAACTGAAAGAAACTGAGGGTCTATGTGTTCCTCTTCATCCTCTTGGCACTGGCAACAAAGTCTCTGACAGATGTAGCCTCACTGGACTCTATGCTGGCCACCGAGTGGACGTGCCGTCTGGCATGTTGATCTAGTTTCGGTTGACACGGTTGATGCAGGAACAGCCAAAGACAGGGCGGAGATCATTGATCTCGTGGAAAGCTGTGGTGGAATCCTAACTATTGAAGAAGTTTGCAGACGTGTATCTGGTATATCATGCCATATCTGCTTTTGCTACGCCCGGCCAAGCACAGCAGGCTTTCAATGGGAACCATTGCGATGTTTCCTCGATTCATGGCCGAATCCTCAGCTGGATCTTTCCAGTTCCATAGTTCCATAATGTTCCATATCTCTTGGGATTAACATCGTGGGATAGCTTTGAGGAGGTACCAACTTGGTGACGAAGTAGCAACGGGTCGGAGTTGAACATTTTTTTTTGAAATACAGTAGGCTGCTTCAGCAAGATGTCGTGCCAACTACATGAAAGTTAGAACGTGTTAGAACCATGACGCGCATGAACTCATGTTTTGATTCAGAAGCGTCATAGTGCGTCATAGACATAGATCAATCCACAAAATCACAAGGTAAAACGAACACCACTTCCAGGCAGGATGTAGACGGTGTTCAGAGGCGTTATACCGAGGAGCTGACGTTGGAATATGGTCCAATGGAAGGGCTGCTCCGTTTCTTGCCCTCCGTCTGGAGCCGAGTCTGAGCCCAGCCTCGGTATCCCATGGTATGTGCACCTTGGAGCCTTGGAGCGGCGCTGAGATTCCTGGATGCATGACCATGTTTACCTTCATCAACAAGTCCATTGCTTCTGGTTTGCAGGAGTGTGACAAGAGCTTCAAAAGCACGACAAATCTGTCCAATCGATGAAGGGCTTGCTTGGGCATTTTTTTGCGCACAGAAACAGACCAGGAGACCATGGTTACGGGTGAGGCGCAGGAAGCTTAGTCTTGGGAACCTTGACTCAGCAAAGCTGTGATTGCTTTGCATTGGCAGAATTTATTGAGGTCTTACATCGCGACAGGTCGACCAAATGCTGCTTCTCTCAATTCATTTCAATTCATTTTTTCAAAAACATGTTTTTTTTTTCAAGGAACATTTGATCACCTTTTGGACATTATTCTATGACAACATTTGCATATATGTATGTATATACGTAATATATAGCTCGAGAACAACCATGAACAGCGTGAGTGCCAGGCCAATACCCACTACAGCTGGAAGGAATGCTATTTCATTCACTGCCTGGCGCCGAGGTTTGCCAAATGTACTGAATGTACTGAAGCCTGAAGGTAAGCGAGATGTTGCGCACCGATAGTCTTCCGTGGAAATCATATGAATGGATATGAATGGCATGATCAGCCTCATAACATGAATGGCATGGCTTTACACCGTCACACAGTGGAAGGATGTCTACAGCTTGCGCGGCCTTGTGAATATCTTAGGTGCATCGCACTACTATCCAGCCTTGAGGATCTATATCTGCGACTTGGATGCAGCAACCGGTACTTCGACAATGCAAAACATAGGATTTTTTGGTACCTTTGTTGCAGAATTGCAATTCTAGACTTGGCCATAAACGACGCGACAGTCTCAAGACCCTGTGTGGATCTGTGTGGCTGAGGCTACTTCGTCTACGAGCTTGTGTCCCAGGCTTCAACGACCTGGTTCTCTCAGATCTTTTGGAATCGAACAGAGTCGAAGGAAATCACGGAGGTTTCAATCTTCTGCAGGCGATGGGATTTTCGACGCTGCCAATGATGGTATTGCTGGCTTCTGCAACAATGTGGCTGCTTTGCAGCAAGGAGAGTGCAAACGTGGAATCCGAGAATTCTTTCAAGCTTGTTAACAGAAAAGTGGCCCAAGTGGCTGCACTCGGAGAGGATGAGACTCCAAGCGACAGCGAGCTTCGACGATTTGACAGATTTCACTTGACACACTGTATATGTGGGCAAGGTTGGTCGCACCACTGCTGTTTTGTCCGCAGCCAACCTTGTGGGGAGCCAAGGTGAACCAAGACCAGCGTGCTTTTGAGTATTGTTTTTAATCTAAAGATGCATTTGTCAGCCATTTGTTGCCACTTGTTGCCATTTGTCGCTTGAATCTCCATGAGCCATGGGGCTTCCCAAGCGCTTAGCGTTTGACGATGTTTGACGACTTTGGTGCTTTTGTATTTGTATAATTTTCTGTATGCCGTCCAAGGAGATCGCTAGGCCCACGCCTGGGTGTGGGTGCTTCGTGCTAATAGCACCAGGGAGGAGATGGACAATGAATGAAAATCATATATATATATATTATATATACAGATACTTTAGACCTTTAGATCTTTGTAATCACTGCAAATGTAATCTCAGAAGATTAGCTCAGTGTTGCAGACTTGAAACACCTGTGAGCTCAACAGCTCAACTCACCATTCTCAGGCCGAGATGTGAGGGAATTTTGGGAGTTTGTCATTGCAACGCGGCCGATGTTTGTGCGATACTTGGCTATGGGTCACTCCCAGATCCTTGACTTGTCTACCCGAAGATTGGAGTCTGTTTGGATGTGGGTCGCGAGGCCTCCACTCATGAGATGAAAGCCATGGAGGCCCCCAGACTCCGAAGGCATTTTGTGAATTTGGCGATGTATCTAGCACTCTGGTGGAAAGACATGCCTTCAACCTAGGATGTTTTCATTCGTAACGAGCTTTTCTTCAGCTCGTTGATAATCTAAGTAGCTGGCCCGCTTGCCAGGACCTGCTGCGAACTGGTTTACGTGATCCTCGTTCGTCTCTCTATGAGTTTGGAACTTGATCAACAACGTGTGTTTGGAGTATCAACTTTGTGCATGCCCGGTGTTCCGTTTGCTTGCATGCTTTCTGATCTTTCTGGGGAAAGCCAGTCCAACTTCTGTAGCAGTCATCCAGAAGTCCGGCCATGCGCTCTCCAAGGTTTTGGCTGTTGAGAGCCTTGGACCACAAGAAGTTTTCCTGCTTTCAGCGAGCTATGAGCTCAGACACCAAGTGTGCCCTGTGCATCTGTGCAGTGCTGTGCATGTCGCTTGTCGCATTACTCTGATTCCACTGGAGAGTTGCTTGTGAAAAGCTGCAGACAGAAACTCATGGAAGGGAACACTCCTCATGCCAGAGAACTGAGTGTGCAACTGGAGAGTCGAAGGTGTGCTTCTTGATGTGTGAAGTATTGAGTCCCTTGGACGCAATACATCGGCACATAATCGTTTCCCTACTGTCTTGACTGATTCTCTCTGCCGCGCGTTGGGTACTTGAATGGCCAGACACTGTAGTGAGCTATAGTGTATCTTTCATCCTGATTCATTCGCACTGGATTTTCATAGTTTACTTTAATCAAATATATGTGTACAGTATGCGGAGATGAGTGGACTCATAGCAAGCTTGAAATACAGTACCAGCAGCTCAGCAGTGAGCTTCAAGCTGAGGTCTTCTCTTTGTGCTCGCAGTTGTGCCCAGTATCTCTGCCATAGCTGGCTGTGGACAGCTGTGGAGTCATGCAGCTGCCCTGAATCCGCACTGAATTGCCATTTCTGTTAATCCAATGGCAGGTTCTTTGTTTGACTACTACTTCATTGTGGCTGCGGTCCAAGAGACAGTGACTTCTTGGGTTAGCATCTGGCATCGAGTTTGAACCAATGAGATTTACCCACTGTAAGATGCTTTCAAGGAACCTCCACTAGTCAAAACTAGTCAAAGTGCTGTAATGTGCGTGAGAGTGATGGTCGTGGCAGCTACTCTGATGACTCTTGGATCTGTTGCATCCTTGGACTCCTTGGACCCAGGTGTTGCTCTACGGCTTGCACTACTTACTCATGGAGGTTTGGCGATTGCTCGGTCGGCCAACAGTAGGGACCTCGCTCTGACCACATTGAACGCAAGTAGAGCAATAGATAGTACAGTAATGTACAGTAAATACCTTTACCTGGAGAAACATCATTATGAAAGCACTGGTCTATTCTGACACTCCACCAAATCTTGCTCTAATCATGGAAAGCCAATGGAAAGCTTTGTTAGTGTTTGTCTTCACCTGTGTGTTTGTATAATTGCTGTCTTGATGCACGTAGATTTGATCGTTATTTGCGTTTGCATGAGAACTCAGGTGATCACATTGCTGACAACATTGATGTGGCTAGTGGCGTGCGGGTCTTAGTCCATGCAGAGACCTTCTTCAAAGATCTTCAAAGTTGTTTGTGCCATTCCCCATCCACTCAGGCCCGTGATAACAAGGGTACCCATGTTGGATATGCCTGCTGCTCAGTGGCTCAGTGCTATGCTGCGAGAGGTTGCATCCCAAGAGCCATCTTTTGTTTTTTCTTGGCTACAAAGGATGAACGATGATCAAAGATGAAAGAAATAAGTTTTCAAAAGCCAGTCTTTGCTTTTCCCCTGGCTGAAGTTTAGAACACAGTCGGGCAATGTCGAGCATGTGAGGTTGACGCTTCTGCTGAGTACCTTACTGGCCCTGAAGGCTTGGAATTGCACATAAGTCAGGTATAAGTCAGGTAAACACGGTGAACACGGTGAACACTCAAGGCATCCCAAGGGTGGGTTAATTGCTTCCCAGGTGAAACATGGTGAAACATGGTGAACCATGGTGAAACATGGTGAAACATGGTGTAACTATGGATACTTACGGCAATATACAGTAGGAGAATACGAATCAAGAGAACAGGGGATGCGACCCTCCGTGTTCGTCATTTCTAAATATTCAGGTTATCAACCTCCACCACATACTGATTATACTGGCCTCGCAAAAATGCAAACAACGACTCAATGGTTCAGTGTTGAACGTATGCCCATACACACACACACAAACAGAACAGGGATCAAAAGGGCACGTTAAGGCCAACATCGAGCCCATCATTTTCAGCAAATCCTACGTTTAGCCTATCATGAGACAGTAAGCTCGCCAGATTATGGCAGTGTTGACAGTGCCTAGTACAGACTGGCTCAGCTGAAGTACGCAGATAGGCGAACCTATATCGGCGCAATCTTTACCAAATAAGTGCTCTCTTGATGAGAAAACTCGTAGAGCCATCAGAAACCAACATTGACTGTGCCCATGTGATTAGTGAAATCTCTGCGATCTCTGCGTCGGTACAAGATGGTACAAGTATGTTTTTACCTCTTGGATTCTATTCAGGCCCTATTTGCTCTCTTTTGAATCCAATTCATATTGTGACAGTTCCACACGGCAACATCGACAGAGGTCATCAGATCTGTTGTCCTTCTTGTCTGCTGGCTTTCGTCCATCACTTAGACCGAACGGCCAAGAGCTCTTGATGGGGAGGACCCAGATCGCAGAAATAGATCCAAATTGAATAGTTCAGTCAGTGGCAGCCCAGCCATGGTGCAAACAGACTCAGTCCATGCAGCTTTGCACATTGAAGGCTTAGTCCGAATCTGTACTGGAAGCAAATGGCAGAAAGGACCGAGACGGATCGAAGCGCAAAGAAGGCACCAATGGATACCAATGGATCATTTGCCTTTCCTCACATTTCTAGAAGCTACTCTGTGGCAGTTTTACTCAGAAAAATCAAAGGTCTCTTGAAACTGAGGAGCCACAACTTGTCAGTTCGGAGGTTTGCCATTTTGGGATTTTAGCATTTTGATATATTGCTCTCCCTTCTGGTCCAGGCAGCCGCAATGAAGATGCGCGCATATGACAAAGTGGTTGAATACCTGTGCGCCGCTGCGCCTGTGGTAAGTTTCTTTCGCTTGCAAGTTGTATGGTCGAGCCTACACAAAACTAGGAATAGTCAACTGCCTCTCCAATGCTCATCCAAACATTCAGACGTAGATAGGGAAGCACACAAAGAGATGGAACTTCATTCTGATGTATATATTCTGCTTTGCTATCTTTGCTTGAGAGTTTCATACCGGACTGGTACTTTGCCATGCTCTTGAGACATCTTGAGACGTATTCAGGTACGTCAACCTGATGGGCCATCAGTCCTGACCCAAGTGGTTAGTCAGTTTTTTCCGGTACAAGGCAACGTCTTTGACGAACCAAGTAGGGAAGACCGGGAAGACCTAGACATTTTACCAGTGAAATCGTTCACCAGCGTCATTTTCTTCCAGCAAGGCTTCATTTGTACGCTGCTGGGGCAATCCTGATTGTGAGTTTCGTGGTTTCCTCAGACATTAAACCTGCTTACAAATGCAAATAGTTAAGTCTTGTTGCTGCCAAGTTGTTTCTAAGTCTGGAACATGCTGTGATTATTTGCAAAACTGCCTAGACTTTGTGCTCAGACATGGATAGTCACAACACGACAAGACGTTCCTCAGTTTGTTTGCTCCAAACTAGCAACAATGGGAACAAAGCTCTGATACTTGCAAAACTTAAAATACTCCTGCAATAGGCCTTTTATTCCAAGCTCCTAGCCCATGCAGTTACAACCCACCTACGGGCGAAGTCAGTTCAGCACTTGGCAGCCATGCACGGCCGTGTGAAGAAGGACATTGTGGAACCTACACCAGAAGAGAAAGCCAAGCAGCGAGAACAAGTTCGCACCGCGCGGAGTCTCTTTGCTAAGCTCTTGGACTTGCGGAAAAGTCAGACCTACAACGATCAAGCTTTGGAAATGACCTCCAAGGCTCTTCAGTTCCATCCTGAGTTCCCAACGCTGTGGGGATACAGACGTGAACTTCTCACAAGCACAGGCAGCACAGAGAAACCATTGCAGGAATTGTTAAAGATGGAAATGAAGCTGCTGGAGAAAGCCTTGAGAAAATCGCAAAAGGTTTACTCCATTTGGTTTCACCGCAAATGGGTCGTGGAACGCTTGTTCCAGGAGATGAACGCAGATGAAGAGGCAATCAGAAACCTTTTAAGCACTGAATTAGATTTGTGCAATCAACTTTTGGCGGTCGATGAGCGGAATTTTCACTGTTGGAATCATCGCATGAACTTGATGGATTTGATGAGGACTTGGGGGAAGGACAAGTCAAATTCCATGGACTTGAATGCCATCGATTTGAAACTGAGCACAGATTTGATAAATCAAAACTTTTCGAACTATTCTGCTTGGCATTTGAGAACCCTGCTTCAGCAGCCACTTGCGGGAGAAGAGCCACGCATGAAGTTGAATGTTGAAGAAGAGCTAGAATGGGTTCAGCAAGGCATCTATACTGAACCCAATGATCAGTCTGTCTGGCTCTACCACCAGTGGCTAACACTTGAACATTCTCAGTTGCCCCGCATCACACATTGTGCTATTCTGGATGGAGAGTTTTTCATCTTCTTTTCGAGACCTGTGTGTGCGTCTGTGGCAACTGTTGGCACTGTGAGGGGCTGCTTGGAGGCGATTCCTAGGAGTGCACTGAAGCGAACTCGTCCCCGCAGTGTACGTCGCAGCTGGTCTGTGGGATGGCGATTTCTTCCGGAGACCGAGGCCAAATTCAGAGATGAAGTGCAAATCACTGTGACCTTGGAGAGCTGCGGCACTGGTCTGAAGCAGTCGATGTCAGTCTTCAATGGTCAACCTTTTGATTTGGACACAGAAATGTCATCAAACCAGGAACTCAAATGCGAATTATCGGAGGAGAAAAAAGAGATCCTGAAGTCTGAGTTGATGCGAATCGATGAGCTTCTGGAAATTGAACCAGACTGCAGATGGGCCTTGCTTGCTCGCATGCGCCTGCAGCTTGCATCCTCACCACCTGAAGAAGCAACCCTGTCAAGTTGCCTGTCAAGCCTTGAACGGATGAGCAGCTTGGATCCTTTACGCAGAAATTTCTATGCTGATTCAAAGGCAGATGCTCTGATGATGCAATCCCTGACCATGTGGAGTGGACAAGGTCGCAAGGGAGATCTGAAACTGGTTGGACTGGGTCTGAAGAATATCTCACCAACTGCTGCAGCCTTTGCTTTCGGTGTCCGTATTTTAAGGCTTGACGAGAATGAGCTGCATGAATTTGGCCCCTTGCTTGGGTTGTTGAGCTTGATAGAACTTTCGGTTTCCAAAAATCAGATCCGCGGTGATGTTGCAGAAATCTTTGCCTTGAAGCGACTACAATACGTAGACTTAAGTTGGAATTATTTGTCGGCAAATTTGGGATGTTGGAACCCACCAGAGAAGCTGCAGAAAATAGACCTCTCTGGAAATACGAATGTAACTGAGCTGGGACATGAAAAGCTCTCACAGCTTTTTCCAACGGCTTGGAAGCTCCAATTCGGAGAAGGAAAGTGCCTCGCCCACAAATGAAGGACAGGGGCTCGGCAGCTTGACGGCTTGGCGGCTTAGCCAGCTTGGCATCAAAAATGATTGGATGCTGGACCACTGTCCTGCATGGAAGTTGACAATGCTGAGAATGCTTGGCTTGGCACTAGAAATTGGGCATGAGTCACATGAGGTTGGCATTTTGCATATTTTTGGCATATTTTTGGCATGATGCCACTGTAATGCCACTTTGATTTTGCAAAGCCTTGTGAGGTGGTGCAATTTGTTTTGGTTGTGTTGGACAGTTTCTATGGCCTGCATTCGTGGGCCCTGTTGCTGGGAACCCCAGATCCCAGACTCAACCTGCACCGTGCCACCCACTGTCTTGGCATTGCTATCAAATCAAATCTGGGTATGGGTCAATACCTATAGATACATTTTTAGTGGGATGAACATCCATTTACCAGCTATTTTGGGGTTCACTAGGTACCAGGGTTTTGACCCATCCCCATCTATCAACATGCCATTTTTTTTGACCCATTTCTTGGTAATGCTGATCCTTAGTCGCAAGCTGGCTGCAGGAATCCACGACTGCGAAGCAGATCCTGCTGCCAGCGTCGGCGTGGTTTCCAGCCTCATGGCTTAGTGATCTTAGTGAAACATGGCAGAAGCTGCCGAAGGCCTAGAGATAGAGACATGTCATGCCATGGCCTTGCTCAGCACATTGTCCTGCTTTGACCTTTGTTACAGTCAAGAGACACCTTCGATCTCTGCGCACAGTGCACACTTCAACTCTGAGGCCCTAAATGTTCTGAGAACTGTGTGTTAACGACGGAGTGGGAGACCACCGGAAGACCTGAGCCAAGTGCAAACCAATGGGTTGTATGCAATTGGCGGATAGATTGATTCATTGATTGCTTCGTGATTTGTTCTGCTGATTGGGGTGAAGTAGGCAAACTTGATGTGTGCTCATTGGGTAGTGTGGGATTTCGTCTGCTGTTTTTTTCACACCCTTTCAGCAGGATCTTTGAAGATAGCTCCTCAGAAGAGCAAGCACTTCTGCGATGGAGAAAGGGTGTGCTGCATTTGCACAAGAGTCATCAGTCTCATTGTCACCGGTGCGAGTCCCACAGCTTTGTTTTGGTATTCCCAGTTGGCCAATGACACGAATGCAGTCAGATATCCCAATGACATTGACGCTACTTGCACAATGTACAGAAGATTGTCTTGCACCACTTTGGAGCAACAACCAATCTTCTCCTTTGATAAAATGTCATGAGATCTGTTTGCCATGCAATTCTGGGCTTTTCCTGTGTTCTTTTGTGGACACGTCCATACTGTAGCTGTAGCTGTTATGAAAATTGCTGGGCACGAGCTCCTCAACATGAGGCCTAGAAATGGACGGCAAGAGTATGCTGTAGCTTTGCGCGAAGCGATTTGATTGCAATCTCTGGTGCGCATGCTTTTTCCAGATATTGAGCCCCTCAAGATTCAAGATTGAATGATTGAAACTAGTATATTCAACAGTCTTTTAGGCTTCCTTTTGCAAGGTGCATGACAATGGATTTGCAAAGCAACGTCAACATCTACAATGAATCACTGGTGTAAAATTGTTTGTAATCTCATGGTGAGTGCTGATGCGGGCGTTTTACCCATCTGCACCCAAGGCGCGGAGTTGAGTACCATCGAGTACCCCAATACTCTGCAGATCCCCATATTCTGATCCCTACGGTGCCAGTTTGGTTGCCCCAGGAATCTGGAGCATCACCCATAGGGATGTGGCAAGTTAGGGTACCTTGTAATTTCATCAAGTTGCCTTTCGGATGGCAACCCCATGCATTGATGAACAGGCTGACATCGCAACATGGCTTCGGCCAAAGGGGCCGATCTTCAAGGGTGATGCGGAGGCTGTCGAGGAGAGAAAACTGCCTTGGTTGAGTCAGCCTAGACATGTGCAAAGTATCGTAATCTGGACTCCTTGACCCTGATTAGACATGTGGTGTTTGTGGATCCCATTGACATCCATTGACACTTGGTAAAACATGTAATTTATGTAAAACAATGTAAAACATGTAACACTCCTCAAGACACAGCTCTTGGAACGAATTGGGACTGCTACGCCCCTCCTCGCACCTCCGCTCCATTCGTTCTCGACCGTAGGAGCTCTTTGCAGCACGGCGGGCACCAAACTCGGGACTCACGTCACAACTGTCACAGGTTTGACTCTTGAGGAAATAGCCAGATCCAAACAGAATCACACCGACATACAGACCACAGATCTACTTGGTGACTTAGTGAAGAGTGCATGAGCGTGAGTGTATTGAAATGTATTGAAGCAGATTGAGTTTTTTGGTGAGATTCCATGGAATTTCCATGGAATTTCCATGGAAGCCTTGTGAGGTGAGTTTGACTCCGCAAAGCAACGCTCATGCACCCACAATCACCAGGCCAGTGGAGGCGCAACGTTTGGAGTAGAGAAAAGGATCAAAATGAATTTGCCCCTTAGATCCCCTTGCTTAGCTAAGACAAAACATTTGTAGATTGGGAATATTTGGAATATTTGGGTGTAGTCATGAAGGGTTTTCCTGTAGAAGATTGGAACAAGGAAATCGTACAGGTTGTACATTAATGTGAAAGTCAGGTGGAAGGCCAGAACGACAATATGTGTGCGCAAGCACTTGGCTTTGTTTCACCTATTGGGTTCCCTGAATTTAAGTTCTTAAATTAAATGGTACCGCACGAGCTTGCAGGTAGCAACGATCGCAGCACCGCAAATGCGGTCCTCGCCGCATAGTTCTCAGTTGAAGACACATCAGAACTACGAACCATTCAATCGAAACCCCAAGTAACATATGGGTATGGGTCAAAATTAGGTACCCCAAAATTATGGATGGTTAATACTAAACTAGACTAACATCTGTGGTCCCCTAGGTCTTCCATTTTGACCCACATCCATATCATAAGGCCTATCCAGTCGGCTGAAAGATTTTGTGAACTTGTGCCTGATTGGAGATGGTGTGTTTCAGACATCAGAAACCTTTGGTTGCTCCTGCAAGTTTGCTTTCATTTGCAGGATTTTCTTGAAGTTTCTTTTTTGTTGATAGCATTTGGAGAAAGCCGGAGAATGCTGAACGAACAAAACAAACAAAACAAACAAAACAAACAAAACAAACAAAACAAACAAAACAAACAAAACAAACAAAACAAACACCATTAATTAATTAGAATCAGCTGCCAAGGTCCGCTCCACTGCTGCTGACTGCCGCTTCGCCTGGTGTGTGTGGGGCTCAGGGCCTGTTGCCTGCAGGATTTGCAGGGATCAGTACACTCACTACACACAAAAGCATAAAGAGATATAAAGGTACCAGGTACGGTATATAAAGTTTATAAAGATTACATGCAGGACATGTACTGTAAAGACATGTATATAGCCACATGTGAAAACATGTACAGGCGTGCAAAGATGTGTAAAGACAGCAAAGTCATATGTAAACACATGTAAAACAATGTGTGAATTGATCATGCACTCTGACCAGAAGCCATTGCAGTTGTAGCATGTGCATTTGCTGATGGATCTTTCAGCAGGCCATTTTGGCCCCAACATGCCCTGGTGGGCCTCGCAGTTGCCGCAAAACGTTGCTTTGTGCATGGCCCGCTATCACTGAAGCCTTTGCTCAGTGGTAGCGGAGCCTACCCGCGATGGATCCAGGCGTTGCCTTCAACAGTGGTCGAGAGCCACCACCTCCAACGTGGGATGGAAGTGAACCAGCTGTGCAGTTTCCCATCTTCCAAAAGAATGTCCGTTTGTGGGAGTTCGAGACCGAGGTGCCAGAGAACAAGAGAGGGGTTCGCTTGTTGCGGGCCTTGACAGGCATAGCTCGCGCTGCTGCCGACAGCTTAGAGTTTGAGAAGATCACCGATGCCAAAGGGGTCTCCCACATCATGAAGTGTTTGGAAGATCAGTTCAAGCCTCATCTTGAACTGTCACTGCCGAGGGCCTTTGAGCGGGCCATTTATGGCCAACCTCGCTCCAGCAAGGAGAGCATTCAAGAGTACATCATTCGCTGCGAGCGAAGTTTCTTTTTGTTGGAGAAAGAAGGCGTGAGGCTTCCGGAGGAGGCGATTGGGTATGTCATGTTCCGTCAAGCTGCTATGACGGAGAGCCAGGAACTCCGCTTCGGTGCTTGGGCAAATGGAAAGTATGACAGGTCGACTGTCGTGATGTGCCTTCGGAAGCTTGACAAGGTGATTTCCGAGGTCAAAGCAAAGCACTCAGTGGCCTTTCTGCAGGATGATGAGAACGCTCTTGAGGAGGGCGATTTTGAAGCCGAGAGCTATCAGCCTGAATTTGAAGATGACCAGGAGGACGACTTTGTCTACTTGACAGAGGGCCAGGCAGAGCGCATGTTTGAAGAGAACGAGTTGCAGGTGGTTTTAGCCACTTACCATGAAGTGAAACGAGCGATGCAGGCAAAGCAGAAAGGACGCCAGTTCTACAAGGGCGGCACAAAGGGCCGAGGGCGAGGCTCACCCTGGCAGGACTACATCAAGGACAAGAGAAAGATTCACATAGAACAACTCAAGCTCCGCACACGTTGTGCACGTTGCGGCACGGTGGGGCACTGGGCTCGTGAGTGCAAGAGCCCACCTGATAGCCGAGGAGCACAGTCTGCGGCATCTCAGAGTTCAAAGCCATCTTCAGGTGCTTCGACAGCAGCTGGACAGAGTTGGTATGTGTCCTCACCAGACCCTTGTTCCTTGCATGTACTTGGTAAGGATTCTTTTACGGTTTTTGAGTGTGGTTTGGATGACACTCAAGATTTTGGTTTTTGTGCTGTGGGGGATAGCAGCACCAACACGTTTGAGGACGTGCCAAAAGCCCAACAAGATATGAGGGGCTTAGATGTAGTTTTTGAAGGGTCTGTTTTGGCCACCAGAGCACCAACCCATTTGTTCGTGGGGCTGACAACTGGACCCGCGATGGCCATTGTGGATACGGCCGCTCAGGATGGTCTGATCGGCAGCGTTGCGTTGGCAAGAGTAAAAGAGGAGCTCAAGCAGTTCGGTTTGAAGATTGCATGGCTTCCACACAAGAAGGCCAAAGCACATGGAGTAGGAGGAGCTGCAAAAGTTTTAGGATCAGCTGCATTACCACTTGGAATCCACGGAAATTCTGGAGTTCTTGAGGTTACGGTTGTAGAAGGTGAGGTTCCACTTTTGCTGCCTATCAAACTTTTGAGAGAGTTGCAAGCCACTATTGACGTTTTTCAAAACTGCATCCATCTTCATCGTTTGCAAGTGACAGCACAGTTGCAATCACTGCCAAGTGGACACATTGCGATGGATGTCATGAATTTTGGAGAGCATGGTTTTGTTTGTCCTACAGAAGCCGTTGCAGCTGGTTTGAAGGATAGCGACTTCCGTTTGAACTTTGGCTCAGAGACGGAGGGTGATACGTCAATGACTTGCTCTTTGATTCACCATGGCGGATCCTTTGGCGCTCTTCCGCAGAGCCATCAACCGGCCTGGACGCGATGTGGCGATGGGCGAGCCGCGACAGCCGGCAAATTCACGTCGCGCTGTGGCCCACTGGCGTGCGCTGATGGACAAAGCTCTTATGGTCTCGCAACTGCTTGGGCTAGAGGAGTCGGTTCATTCATGGTTGCCACAGGGTTCAACGGAGATGCCATACTCTCCACCATCTTCCGAGGAATTGGCTCGGATCGTCGTCGACGCCATTCCACTCGAGCCCATGAAGTCCAAAGTGAAGCCATCAACAGAGAGGAGCGCATGTGCACACCGGCCAGAGAGGTTGACAGTGGCCTCCAATCAACACAACTCTTGGGTGGTGTGTTGGGACTGCCACTCACGATGGGCCATGCCGAAGGAGAAGATCAATCCAGCAGTCAAAGCGAAGGCCGCGGCAAAGAAGGCATTGGCCAAAGCACAAGCCTCCACGTCAGCGTCGGCGTCGGAGGACTATGTCAAGATGCGGAAGGAGGAAGCCTTGTTGGAGCAGCAGGTGCAGGTTCTGACAGAGCATGGCATGGCACAGAAACACGAGATGAACCAGATGCATCGATATCAGAGGCACTTGGAGCAGGAGACAGAGGCGAACTTCCGCGAAGCACAGCGCTGGCAGAGGGATTTGACTCTTCTCCAGAATACAGATCACTATCAGGAGATCACAGAGTTGAGGGCGAAGCTTCAGGAGGCAGTGAGGGGCGTCGAAGTGACAGAGTACATGATGGACGAATATGCGGAGATGGCTCTGGGACAAGCTTACCTGGAGAACAAGGCATATCACAATGGAGAGATGTGGAGGTTTGCAGAGAACAAGCTTCGCCAACAGGTCGAGCTGGCAGAGTTGAACCGGCTGACAACAGAGCTGGCGCAGGAGGATTGGGTGAAGGGCTCATCAGCATCGGCAGGAGCGAAGAGCAGTCCAGTGAGAAAGGACTCACCAATCAAGACCAAGAACAGGTCTCCAGCCAGGAGATCTGGGTGAAGCTTAGAGGAGATGGTTTGAAGGAGGCAGTAACCCGATGGCAAGGTGCACCAGGATATGAGCCAAAAGAGGTCTATGTGCAGCAGGATGCTGCGTATTACAAGATTGAAGACTATGAGGATCTTCTTTTGGAGGATGAGTGCATGGTTCGGGTCGGCATGACTGCAAAGGCACAGTATGAGGAGTTGGTTGAGGATGCGACCGACAAAGAGACAGCTTTAGCCAAGTCGCAAAAGACAAGGCTGCGACGTGCATTGCAGAGTACAGAAGGCGGAGTTTTTCCCGTCGAAGTTTCAGAGGTGTTTAGTCCTCCCAGGATTACCTTGGAGGCGAAGAGGCAAGGGTTGTCAGCAGGAGGGTCGTACGACATCTCGACTGGGTACAACCTCTTGGACGCCAAAGACAAGAAGAGAATGTGGGAGGAACTGGATCGTGATGATCCCGAATTGGTGGTCAATAGCCCACCATGCACAGCTTTCAGCCCACTTCAAGAATGGAATTTTCCCAGAATGGACTTGGAGAAGGCCATGGTTCTTGTTGGAGATGGACTTGAACATTTGTGGACGGCAAGTGATGTTGCGTGTTGGCAACACCAGAGAGGAAAGGCCTTTCTTTTTGAACACCCACGACCTTCAAAAGCCTGGGAGGAGGAGCCTTTGCAGAGGCTGATGGAGTTGGACGGTATCTATGTCTGCACCAGTGACATGTGCGCTTTTGGGATGAAGGTGAATGAAGGCCTCAACAAGAAGTCCACACGCTGGGTTACAGATTCATGGCACATTGCTATGGAATTGCAAAAGCGGTGTACCGGAGATCATGATCATGAGCCTTTGACACATGGGAAGGCAGCTATGGCTGGCGTTTATCCGCCACAGCTATGCAAAGCAATTGTCCGAGGCCTCAAACGACATCTCAGGTGGAAGTATGGTACGCCAGTGAAGCTGAGAGAGGAGGATGTCGTTTTGGAAACTTTTGCAACAGAGACAGGAGCACCTAGGCCAGAAGATGATCTAGAAGATCCAGAAGAGCTGCTCCCGGAAGAGGTCCGGGTTTTTCGTGCAGAGAAGGAGCGCCTCTCACGAGTAGCAGCTGTAGCAGTTTCAGATGAAGACAAGGCCAAGGTGACAAAGATGCATGCGAATTTAGGTCACCCTTCAAAGGAGAGTTTTGTTCGTTTTCTTCGTGCCGGACGAGTACGAGAAGAAGTCGTCCGTTGGTACATCAAAGAATTTCGTTGTGCAACTTGCGAGAGCCATGCTTTGCCCAAGGCTCCAAGACCGGCTGTAGTTCCGAAATGCTACAGACCGGGAGTAGCGGTCGGGATAGACATTTTCTACATCCCGGACCCCATGAATCAGAAGTCTCTTCCGGTCCTCAACATTGTAGATCTTGGCACAAATTACCAGATGATTCAGCTCATCGGCAACAAGTCACCTTTTACAATTTGGAGGGCCTTTTGGAAAACATGGTGTAGGACGTTTGGCATGCCACAGTTTGTTTCGCTGGATGCAGGCCTCGAGTTCAGAGGAGACTTCACTCGATGGTGCGCCAACTTTGGAACTTTGGTTTTCAGAGCCGCTGCACGTTCACCCTGGCAGCAAGGCAAGGTGGAAAGACATGGAGGCCTCATGAAGAACATGATTGAGAAGGCACGAGAATCTACTTCAGTTGTGGATTTGGATGAGCTGAAGGCGCTTTTGTACGAATGTGAGGCGGCAAAGAACAGGTTCATGAATAGATCAGGGTACAGTCCAGTTCAACGGCAGATTGGCCAGTGGCCAAGACTCCCAGGATCCTTGATGAGCGATGAGTTCCTGGACCCAGCCCTTCAAGTACAAAGCACCACAGAAGAGTTCGACCGAACTCTTGAGTTGCGCCAGATAGCTCAAGATGCGTTTGTGAAGTTGGCAAGCAAGGAGGCCGCAGCCAAAGCCTTGCGCTCCAGATCCAGAACGCAGCGCATCTTCAAGGTAGGAGATGTGGTGTATGTTTTCAGGTCTTTGAAGCGCAAGAAGCAGGTCCACAGCCAAGGACAGTCAGAAAGAGGAGTAGGAGTTGGACGCAAAGTGGCATGGATTGGTCCCGGACATGTTCTTGCCATGGAGGGTTCGATCGTCTGGGTCAACATGTTTGGAGAGCTTTGGAAGGCAGCATCAGAACAGGTGCGTGAAGCGACCACCGTTGAGAGGCTGGGCGTTGAAGTAGTGGCGGAGGATTTCAGCGAGATGCAAGAAAGGTTGAAAAGGAGTTCCAGGAGAGCAGGATTTAGGGACGTCACGGCCGACGTCGAGGAGTTGGATGACAGGGACGTCACGGCAGACGTTGAGGAGGAAAAGGAGCGAGATGAAGTTGCAGAGGAAGGCATGGTACGAGGTCAGCCTAGGGTTCGTTTTGATGAGCAAGTACAGCCCATCCCTTGCACCAGATGAACCAGATCTCACTGAGCCTGCGGCTCTCTCCATGCCGCCACCAGCTGTTGAAGAAGATGTCATGGATGATCCAGAGCTTAGGAGCTTGTTCATACCAACAGACCCAACATCACAACCTTTTGACAGGAGAGTGGCACCACGTTTGGAAGAGCGTAGAGCATCAAATGCAACTGTAGCAGAACCTGATGAGGAGCAAGGTTTGGTGGAGCCAAATTTGGCAGATGAGCAGAGGGCGTTTGATCAGCAAGCAGAGCAGGAGACAGCCGAATCCATTGCAACTTCAGTGCAACGCAACGAGATCTTGGATGGGACGCCAATGGAATATGGGAGGTTGAGATCGAGGCTGCAAACACGATGGAGGGCCTCGCAACCTTATTTGGCGGAAGTCTTTTTCCAAGATGAGGATGACCAAAGAGAGCTTGAGGCACAGGAAGAACCCACTCATGACTACTGGGTGTATGACGCCCACCGTCAGGTTCTTCAACGCCACCATGTACATTGGCGCAAGGCTCTTTTCAACCCGATGAACTCTGATCGAAGTCCAATTCCTTTTCGAGCGATCAAGAAGGGGAGGTGCACAAAAAGAGTCTCAGGTCTTGGTTGTTCTGAGGAGATCAGAGATGAGTGGTCACCCTTTGCGAAGAAAGAAGAGCGTTTGGATTGGTGGAAAGGTATCACTGAGTTTGAGGTGGATACCCATTTCCTGACACATGGGCAAAATTTCATGGCAAAGAAACGTGGGGAAGGAGAGGTCTTCCCTCATGAGATCAGCGAGGAGGAATGGCCAGAATGGCGTGTCAAAGATGCGGAGGAGTTTCAGAAGATCGTAGATAGCGGTGCTCTGAGGATTCTGAGCATGGCTGAATCAAAGCAGGTGCGAGAGGAGTTGGAGAAGGCAGGGAAGTTAGATAGAATACTTCCGACACGCATGGTCAGGAGGTACAAGCCGGGCGACGCGCCCGGAATGCCCAGGGTGAAGAAATCCCGTTTCTGCATTCGTGGAGACAAGGACCCAGACATCGCTGAGTTGTCAAGTTTCGCACCGACTGTGACCACCTCCAATTTGCAAGTCCTCATTCAAGCAGCCATCAACAAAGATTTCAATGGAGTGATAGGAGACTTGAAATCGGCCTTCACACAGAGCCTTCCACTTTTCCGAAAGGAGGGAAAACTCTATTGCCGGGCAGTGGGAGGCAGTATGCCTGGAATGGAGGAGGGGCAAATCGCTGAGATAGTGCTGGGATGCTATGGTCTTTGTGATGCACCACTTCACTGGCGCAAGACTTTAGTGGCATGCCTCGTAAACGAGCTGGGATACAGACAGTCTGCGCTGGACCCTTGCACATATCTTCTACATGGCGAAGATCCCCAAAATCCAGGCGAGAAGGTTTTGCTTGGCATGGTGGCAGTTGAGATCGATGATTTGCTGATGTTTGGAGGAAAGACCCACGAGGAAAAGATGCAGCAACTTCAAAAGCGTTTCACCTTCGGCAAGGTAGAGCCTTTGGATGCCAAGGGAGTGAATTTCAATGGACGCAGACTGCGTCGTGAAGGGCACACCATCTTTGTGGATATGAAAGCATTTGTTGAAGAGCGTTTGGAAAAGGTGCCTTTGGAGCCCCACAGACTCAAGCAGAAGGATGAGAAAATCACGGCTGAAGAGACCAGCCTGGTCAGGAAAACGTGTGGATCATTGAATTGGGCCGGACGTGAAGGAAGGCCGGATGCGGCAGCAGCAGCTTCCATGTGCTCGTCATTGCTGCTGGACATGCGGGTCTCTGACGTGATCGAGCTCAACAAGATCGTGAGTCGGATTAAAGAAAATTCTGACTTGGCCTTGAGGATTCAAGCGATCCCCGAAAGCCGTATGAGATGGGGAGTGGTCACCGATGCATCGTGGGCAAATGCGAAGGGAGGCAAAACCCAAGGTGGACATATGCTGCTCACCTTCGATGTGGATTTGCTGGCTGGTAAGCAGGCGATGTGCAATCTTCTACATTGGAAGAGTGGCAAGCTGCACAGAACAGTGAACAGCACCTTGGCGGCCGAGACGCAAAGCTTGGCAAGAGGTATCGGTGACTTGCTTTGGATGATGGTGATGTATGCCGAAATGACTGATGCCGACTTCCAGCTACGAAACTGGCGACGTCATATCCATCGACTTGGATACTCAGCTTTTACCAAGGTGGAGGACTCTGAAAAGCTTGAAGGAGCACTGGCAGTGGTGGACGCAAAGTCCTTGTTTGACTTGCTAGCAAATGAAACAGGAGGTGGCGCTGACCGAAGGACAGCATTAGATGTTCAGATGTTGAGGGAGGAGCTCAACGAATTGCATGGAAGAGTGAGATGGATCGACCATTTGCACATGATTGCCGACTGCTTGACGAAAAAGAATGGAAGAACTGAGCCGTTGATGCGCCTGTTAGAAAGCGGTAGGTTTGGTATCACAGAAGAGGCAGTAGCCTTAGACAACCGTTTGGAAGACCGAAAGAAGGTCGGATACAATAGGCGTTAGGGCTTCTGGTCAGCAAGATTTCGGGGTGCTGTGAATTGATCATGCACTCTGACCAGAAGCCATTGCAGTAGTAGCATGTGCATTTGCTGATGGATCTTTCAGCAGGCCATTTTGGCCCCAACATGCCCTGGTGGGCCTCGCAGTTGCCGCAAAACGTTGCTTTGTGCATGGCCCGCTATCACTGAAGCCTTTGCTCACAATGTTAATTTGAAGTTTGTAGAGTTTGGCTCAAGTGAACGTTGTGTTGGTTCCTGTATCATACCAGCGTTCAATTCTATACCATTTTGGCAAACATCCAGCCGACCCTTCGCTCCAGCACAAAAGGCCTGGACCTGCTTTTCACTTCGCTGGGAGCTCAAGCTTTGTGTAACTGTCTATTCAGAATAATGACCACGTGCTGGCCTTCAGAGCAATCCCGTTTGTTGGAATTGTAAACTTGTACTCATGATTGCTCATGCATATAGGACAGCAAAGGCATAGGAGTGTAACACGTGTATGACATGTCAATTGTGACTTTGATGTTTTCAATATCAAACATGCCTGCATGCCTACACAGACGAGATTTAAAGAAATGCCACTTTCCAATACCAAAGATGAATCAAGAAAGCTAGCATGAACATGGTGTCCAGCCTGCAGCAACCCGAGATCCATTTCTATTTCCAGCACCCACCAGCATCAAGTACCTATCGCAAAAGACCGACAAATCACAACAAGCCCTTGAAACACCATGGTACAACGGCAAACTTCACAGGTGCAAGCGCCGCGTGACTTGACTCCAAGCCCACAGGCGGCTGTCAGGGCACAAGCACAAAAGGTATATGCAGCATGTTGGACATTCTGAGTAATACCTCTTGCCTGCCAAGAGAAACATCTTCTCAATCATGGGAAGGTGTCTGAATTATTTTCTGATCACTGTTCTATGGCATTATGTTCGATTCTATGCGGCCTATGTGTTTCTATAAGTTCTGTTGTTCCATTTTGCATCGCAGGTTGCTGGGTTTGAGCATGCGCCGCTTCTGAGAGGCTCATTGCAGACATGAGTGAACCACTGAATCTGAGGGCAGGGATGGCATTGAGATGTTGTTAAAATGGTAACGTAGCTTGATATTGGGAGAATTTGGGAGATATTGTCCGCCACGGAGGCCGACCGAAAAATCTCCTGTAGCTGCTGTAGCTGATGCCGCTTTCCATGTCTCTGGTTTGTTGGCCACAGGTGCTCCGCAACCCATGGCACCGCAGCTTGATACCTAGATTTAGAGTTCCAAGTACAAATCGACGCAGAAAAACCATTCACTAACCATTCACCCAACAATTCACCCAAACTTCACCCGAAAGGGAAACACAACACGCGGATGTTGATTGTCCCGCCATTTCCCACCTTGGTTCCGAGGCATACAATGTTTGCGCAAATGCCAGGACCATGCAGGTCCTTGGCACAGGGAACGCATGGGAACTGTTGAAGGAACTGTTGAACCTTCGCTTTAGATCCTTTAGGCTCTTTGCATAGCTTGATAACATGTGGGTACCATGTTACAACATGTGACGACTCGTGACATCTAAGAAGCGTCAACTACTGTACCTCCAAGATTGGCAGGACGTGATACCAAGTGGGCTTACTTGTTCTTGGCAGGCAGAGGAGTGCACCAGTTCTTCTGGGAGCTCAACAGGTCAGATGGATTCAGATGTGGCCGTTGCATTTGGACGACTTAGGATGGAGGTTCCAGTTTAACGCTCACATCCAAAATCGACTTCCATGGAGCTCCCATCTTTGAGTGCGAACCTGGGGGATGTTGCGGTGTTGCAGTGGTGAGTCAGCACAATCTGACCAGATTTCATCACAAGACTTTGTAGTGAAGTCATGAGCTGTTTGGGGCCAGGCAGCAGCACAGAACCCTGCAGGCCAAGGGGAATTATCAACTTCTGTCGATCAGATCTTCAGAGACTTTTTCCATCAACGTGCAACCAATTTAGCAAAACATAATCTGCAGGTACTGTTGTTTGGCAAAGCAAGGCTGGGTGCTGTGCCAACTACACAAGGGATTATGCAGCATGCCTTTGATTCTTGTTAAATGATGTTAAATGCAACACGTGAGGTGCTTATTGATTGAACCGAAGGCAACATGTCCGCACACGATTTTGTTCAGATTCGCACTTTCCAAGCAGCTGCAACAATAAGCTTGCAGGAGCTTCCAGTGCGACAAGCTGGAGCACCTGACAGAGGCCTGTTACTGTGCAGTAGGCGCTTGAACAGGCACAGGTTCAGATTCGAACAGCCCTTCAGGTGCACACGCAACACTGGTCCACTCACCCGCATGCGCTGTGCACATGCAGGCCGCCCGTCTTGTTTTCCGATTCGTTTCCAACAGTGTTGGACGATTGAAATCTGGTCTTTGAGGCCCATGCCACCCTGAGAAGGCCGGCTTGCTATTAATGGTAGCAACATATTTCAAAACGATTCAAAATGAATCTAGGAGGCATTGAAATCAATTGAAGGGGTGTTTCATGGTGTTTCTTTTGAATGTTTTTTTATTGTTTTTGGCAACGCATGTTTGGGAGACATGCCGAATGCCGAGGCCTGAGGCTGACGGCATGCAAAGACAGGAGATGTCGAAGCCGTGCCTTCAAGCAGGTGCAACGGTGCTCGCTGACTTTTGATCCGGGCAGAACTTGTTTTCTGATACCACTGATACTGTATTAATATGTCTCTAATAATTCTAATATGATCTAATATGTATGTACAATACTAATGATGTAAACATGGGAAAGAGATGGTTTAATCCTTCCATTTCTCGTTTCAGGCGTGATACCGTATCAAAGGATCTGCGAAACATCTTCTGATCTAGTGCAGTGACGTACATCCTGGTTTAGCTGCAGGTGGCACGCCTCCTTTTGCGATGCCTTCTGTCTCAGCGAGGGTTGAGCATGGTGAGATGTGCAGAGAATCTGTACTCACTGGCAAAGCTACCAATTTTTGCCGAGGAAGAACATATCGGGCACAAACCAGCTTAAGGAATCTGAAAGCTTTGCTTGGCGGACTTGAGATTCTCAAAGTCTCAAAGTATCGTCATGCTTTAAAATTTTTAAAAGCTTTGCATACACACATGGTTAAAGCGAACTGACCATGTAGCATGGGCAGCACCTCGACCCAAGGCCAGATGGCAAACCTGCTGTGCCTTGCAGGTGGCAAAGATTTGCAGAGTGCACCTAGCCCCGAGACCGAATGATACATGCTTTTTACATCTTTTTACATCTTTTTACATGTATATCACATGCCCACCTTGCTGTGGATTTTGGATGCTTGATCCTTGTGCAGGCAGCAAAGTGCACCTGTGGCATCTCATCCTCAGGCACTTGCCAGAAATGCAGGATGAACCAGATAAAAGGGCAGCAGAGGAAAACAGTATAAAGGGTATATTATGGTAGGATGAATCAGCGGTGCTGATGCATGTGCGAAAAGGACATGCTTTTGTAGGCCAATGGCTGCAGGGGTTCGTGGTTGTTACGAGCTCTTGGCAGATTGTCAGCCTAGGGTTTTGCAAGTGCTCTAGCTTATCGAGCCCGTTTGGTCATGTTTGGTCTTCTAAAGTCTTCTACCAGTAGTGATAGTGGAAGTGGAATGTGAATATTCCCAGCCTCAAGCTTGTCTTAGATTCCTTGGATTCAAAGTCATGCTGTGCAAATTTCCCATATTATGTGCAGGTCGTGGTGGTCACAACCACGAGATGTCCAGAAGGCTCCGAGATCCGTTGCGAAACATGAACAAATGCAAAGATTGTCAACTTCAGAACATTTCAGAACAACAGCAAGAAGGATGCCCTTCTTTCATCATCAACCTAGCTTTGTATCTGACTTATTTATTTTTTGTGTGTGTTATCAGTGTTTTGGCCATATATGCTCATAGCGGCCGGCCATCATCACATGCTGCTAGATTTTGGATAGGCCATTGCATAACCCGCATCCCCCCACACAATTTCATGTACACAATTGTCGGGGTTCTTGCCAAAATCTTGCCTGGCGCTCGATTCTCCCAAGCGGCAGGTCCATGGATGCAAACCGCTGAGGCGCCAAAGGAAACCAAGGACTGGTCTCTCATGGGATGAATTGGCAAGAGTTGGCAAGAGAGTATAAGTACAGTATAAGTACAGTATAAGTACAGTATAAGTACAGTATAAGTACAGTATAAGTACAGTTTTTCAGAGAGTCCTCAAATCTTCACGGTGTCAAATTGTGACCTCAGGAAGCCCCGGCAGCCTCTGTGGAAGGTGGGGTGGCAGATGCAGCCACACACCCTCTCCAAGACTAATAAGACTATAAGAAGCCTCCTCGAGTTCGCTTTAAAAAAATTGTGTCATGCGACATGTCACCAGGTTCGAAGCACAAAGTGCCGCATGCAAAGGCAAGATGGGGAAGAGAAAATAGATCGCGTCTTCTCAGGTGATGTGGCTAAACGATACAATTTTATGCTTTCTTCTGTGACGCGCTCCCTTGCTGGATATTGGGCCATGGCGAATCCGACCCAAAGGAGCAAATGAAATGTACACATTCCCATGTCATCCCATGTCTAATTATGAAATCCATGACTGTGAAAGGTAGAAGGTCGTGCTTGTCATGTTTGAGCCATTGCAGGCGGCTCAGAGGCTTCAGTCGCCTCCAGCAACAAGTTCAAGAAGGCTTGAGACTTTGAGTCTTTCAACGTGGTGGGATAGGGTGAGATGGATCTTTCCACTTTAGTTGCACTTTACATACTTTACTCATCTCAGCAATTTCACCTAGCTTTGCAGTCCATGTGCTAGGCGTGAAGCAGCTGTCAAGTCGTCAGAGGCTGCCACCTGCTTAGCCTACTGATGCAGCTATGCACCATGCTTGATGAGAAGAGTTCAAGTCATTTCAAGTCCAGGTGTCCAGGTGTATGATTCTTCACCAAGGCTTTGGATGCATTTGTGCGGCACCATCGCCGTGCCTCGTTCAGAAATGTTCAGCCATGACTTGTTCCATCATGTTCCACTGGCATGCTTCAAGTTGAAGGCAAAGACCAGAGGAGACAGAAGGAATCCATGCCACATGCTGTCGTTTCCCAGGTCGAATGCTGGTTTCAAGCTGCATGGCCGCTTGGGCCGCGCAGTGGAGAGCATCAGCTCGAGCCGGCAGCTGAGTCTGACTGACCATTTTGTACTGGTTGTAGATTGCAGTATGTCGTTTCCCAATATGAAGGCGACAGGAGCACTATACCCTTGAGTCGGGTAGCTGCCAAAAGCGTCGGATAGTTGACAACAGATGTTTGGAGAATCCAAGTTCATGCTCAAGTCCAAAGCCCCAAGCTTCAACGGCTGAGGCAAAGATGACGGCCTCAATCGAGCAGTGCCGCAGATTACAGGAAGAGGTAGGGGGTACGGTGCAAGCAATTTCAGACCAGGCTTTTGCCAGCCAAACCTCAAAGGCAGAACAAGAGATACAGACTTGAACGAAAGTAGCTTGAAGTGACCCTGAAGGGAGTGACCCTGAAGGGAGTGACCCTGAAGTCAGCTAAGTTACAGCATTAAATGTCATAAGTCATACGTCAGAAGTCATAACCTACGCTACTCTAGTGCTACTGCGCCTGCGCTTTACTAGGTTTTATTACGTTTGCTACGTTTGACTCACCCAGCAACATAGTAAACAAAGTAACAACATCCTGGCGGAAGGTGAAGCAAAAAGCCGCCGCCGCAAAGCAGGCTGAGGTGGAGCTCATGAGGCAGCGAATGCCATGGACGATGCGGGAAGATGGGTATATAAATATAATTTATAATTATATATATACAACACGTATATATATATATATATACGTACATATATATGATATTGTAGTGGAATGGGATATTAGCGGAAATACGGGATACCCAATTTTCGAACAAACCGCAAGTGATTTTCCAGAATGATTTCGGAGTGAAGTCTGAGAATGTCTGATGTCTGGAAATGTTTGGAAGAAAGGATGAGCCTTCTGAGACCTGACAAGCTATCCGTACGCCGTAGAGTCTGAATTTGGACAGTCATCAGTCATCGCCGATCGCTTGGTACTGCGACCGGACTCATTTCCACCACACCCCAGGCGCACGGAGGACGAGTTCAAACGCTTGCGCGAAGTGCAAACAGAGTGGGGACACCAAGCATGGCAGTTCTGGCGTCTTGAAACGAAGTGTGATAAGAAGTGGGGTGTGAGGTTTGCTGTTATGTTGGCTCACGAGGTTGCACAGCAGGCAACCCACACACACACACACACAGTGTGCTCGGGAAATTTCAGAATGTTGTATAGTTTAGAGTCTCTAGAGTCGTATGTCAGTTTCAGAATAGTTTTGGCTCTGAATGAGAGTATAGATCAGCAGTACAAAAACATACAAAAACCAGTAAATCTTAAAGGTAAAGTCCTTTCTGTGATTCTTGAGGCTCCTGCATCTCCAGCAGGAGGCTGGCTGGTTTCCTTGGGGCATCGTGCCAGTCAGCTTCAGAGGCACAGACTTTCCAAGTGAACACTCGCCAGGCTCCTGCCCTGCAAGCCGTGAACCAGGTACACCAGCACCTGGACCTACTGAAGCTTACCTTTTCAATGCTGTTGGCATTTTTGGACAATTGGAGGGCAAATCGGGTCTCTTGGGATATTACCCTCTCATGAGACACCAAATTTGTACTACAGATAGATCATGCTACAATGCTTGTGTCAGCAATATCAGCACTCCACTGGGCTTCTTTCCATGTGGCAAACAAAGAAACACTCCTCACAGTGTGACGATATGGCGTTTATCCCTGAATCGACCTTCGTGTTGCGTTGGCTTAGGTATCAATGCAGTTGTTTTTCTCGCAGCATTTTCTTGCAGCTTTACTGATACTGCCAGAGAGAAGGAAAAGACCTGTTGCACAAGGACTTAGATTTAGGAAGTCAGATCTCCAACCGGAGTCCAGCTCCAGACTCTTCAAAACCAAACGTGCGATACATCACTACTGGATCCTTGCCCCCATCACGTACCTCTGACGCAATGCCGGACCCATGGGACAGCAAGACTGCGTGGCACTCAAAAGGAGTTGAGCAGAAATGATTTGTTTGGCTCATAGGCATGTGTGCCAATGTTTTGTTTATTTAGGTCATCGGCCTCTTCTGTGACCCTTATGTGGCGAACACAAATTTGGAAGGTGGCCACTCAGAGCCTTGGCCTGCACTTGGTGTCTTAGCGATGCAGTTCTACAAGACACGCTTATGTTGCAAACGCTGGTTTGGCTCGAAAAGGAGATGATGCTAGAACTAACGCTAGACAGTGCAGCAAATATCCATTAGCCTTTAGACCATGAGATCATCTGGTTTCACTTCAGTTGGACTTTCAGAAGCTCGCTGAACTACAGCAAGACGCAGAGAGACAAGTAGATATGTATAGCATGTGGTTTGATTTGACTTGAGATAACTTGAGATCACCCCTTGAAATTTGATCGCTTGGTCGGAGCCGGTCGGAGACTTCAAAGGGATACTCCACGGCGTCCCTCCTGAGAAATGGGTTGTGGTGCCTCCTCCGATGGGATGGAAGGTGCCGCAAGTGCCGCAAGTGCTGCAGGTGCCGGGGCCTCTGGGGCGCCGGTCGACAAAGCAGAAATGGATGACTTTGGGAAGCCTACCGCGATTCCAATTTCGGCTGTTTCATCCTTGGAAAAACCAGCTGATGATGATTCCAGTGGACAAATGGAGACGGTCATTGAGAGCAAACTGAAGAATCCACCGAAAGAAAAAGATGACTATGACAAACACGTTGATTTGAGTGAGGAGGAGGCAGAGCAGCTGAAAGAATGGATGGAGCTTGCGAAGGGGTTTGACTCTGTGGCTGACTTTGATGCTGATTTTGATGCTGCCATGAACGCAGCGGAAGAAGTCTATCGTGCTTTCAAAGCTTTGCCACCAAGGGTCAGAGTCATGAACAAAGTCGTCGATCAAACCTGGAATATTGCATTTCCTTTGGGAGCCGCTGTTATTGCCCGCATGGATATCACAGTCAACACCCCTCAAGTGGAGATAGATCGGAAGTACATGGAGATCTTCAACCAGTACCCATGGTATGGTCCAGCAAGTGGAGAGCTGCGGCGTGTCAAACTACGTGAGCGGGTTCGGGGCAAGGCCTACGAGCCATATAACCGCCTGTGTCTGGATGAATGGGATGGTGCCATTGACTATGACCAAACGGAGATTCAGACCTACATCGACGAACAGGAACATGCCCAAGGCGTGAAGAACTGTATGTTGACGACACGAACATATTTGTGATGTCATGTTTAGGCACCTAGAAATCTCTGCAGAACTGAACAATAGACTACAAAGGTCCAAGGCGCAACCTTGTGACAAATGTGCAACATGATCTTCCAATGTTTTTGTTTGCACCAAATATGTTGAAAACACAATACTTTTCGACTTCGTTTCGCTTGTCACAAAATCCAAGGCGTGAAGAAGTTTCTCTTTGACCGAAGAGCAGATTGGCAGCATCCAGATGATGTGTACTTCACTGATGGTCCAGCGATTGTCGACTACATCAATGAGACGCTGGGAGAGATCCGCTATGTGGATCGCGTCACACAGAAATCTGGTTTCCTTCATGAAAACAACACTTGGGGTACTCCGCAAAACTATGTGGATATGAAAGTGTTTAGTGAAGGAGTTGACCTAAACGACATCATGCAGGGATACATTGGCAACTGTTGGATGGTGTCAACCATTGCAACCGTAGCCAAGTGGCCGCAGCTGATTGAACAAGCCATCTATCCAAACACATTTTCGCCCTCAGGATGTTATGCGGTTCGTGTCTGCTGGCAATGTTCAGAATCCAAGCCAAAAGATGTTCGTTGGGCGTGGATCATCGTTGATTCAATCTTTCCTCGAGATGAACGCGGCAAAACGGCCTGTGCCAACTCCAGGGACCATTTGGAGCTGTGGCCGATGCTCTTGGAGAAAGCCTTGGCAAAGTTTCATGGCTCCTATTCCTTGATGGTTGGTGGTGGAGAAGGTAAACCTGTTGGCTATGGAGGCCTTTTGATGGCCCTCACAGGTGGCCCATGGTACTGGATGACCATCGGGAAGGAGCTCAAAACAGACACAAAAGTCTCCGACTATCTTCGGTGGATGAGACACAAGGCTCAACGAATGATGGTTGTCTCTTGCACAGCACCAAGAGAGGAAAAGGAGACACTGGGACTTGTGGGTCATCATGCATACTCTATCCTTGGAATCCACTCCATTTTTGAGGATGACAATGAGATCCACTTGGTCGAACTCCGAAACCCTTGGGGCTGGTTTGAATGGAAGGGCAAGTGGTCAAACCACGACTGGCAGAACTGGATGACAAATCAAAGGCACAACCAGGTGGCTCGCTTTCGTGAGCTCTTTGACTGGGACAAGATCAAGGAAACCGACGGCAAAGAAGGGATGCCCAAAGATGGCCAGTTCTACATGGAATGCAAAGACTTCATGAAATACTTTTCAACCATTACGGTGGTGAAGGTTCCTTTCAAATTTGATGTTGGATGCAGATTCAGAGAGTAGCTCCAGGAGGCGAACAGCCGTACACCATGGACCACCTGTAAATATTTGTCTGCTTCCTGTTTCACCATGATTTCCTAAAGGGAAATTCGGAAAAAGGTTCACTTGTGACTTGCTCAGTTTGCTCCGACTTCATTGACATGGCACGTGGGCCACATAGGCATAGAACAGAATCGGTCACTGAGGAAGAGACATTAAGAGATGTCGCTGGTTGGTTGGGTGAGTTGAAGAAGCTGGACAAGTTCTCCTCCAAGGCACTCCTCAATGTCAGCATATTTCAGTATTTTTTACAGTGGCCGTCACAAAGGAGAACTGCTACATTGCATGAAGCTACATGAAGCTTTCAAATATTTCAACATATTTTGACATACTTCAAGGATCTTCAAGGTATTTCAAGATCTTCTTTTGCCCCATGAATAGCCTAAGCATCTTCACTTTGCGTGGATTGTGTGGCACCGTGTGCCTTTGACATTTTTGATTTGTGAAGTCTGTGAAGTCTGTGAAGGTGAAAACTGTCTTGGACGAAGCTACGGAACTCTTTGCCGAGGGTGCCAGGCGTCATGATCCTCGTGGAGGATTTTTGCTTGTTTTTTGATGTTTTCTTTCGGCCTCAAAGCGCTGGAAATCCGGGATCGCAAATGATCTATTTCAGATAAATATGATTTCTTTGAGATCACAAACGGATATTTTTATTTATTGACATGTTCAGTGAATTCAACAAATTTGGTGCTAGCAGCACTTTCCAATCAATTTGAAGCGACTGCAAGCTTGTTGCTGGGTCAGGTTGGGCAGCACAGGCAAGGAGCAAGGGCAGCTCCATGTTTGAAGTGTCAAATTTTACAAATCGGTGCACAGAGGTTCAAAGTCAAAGTCGATACAAGTCGTTACGTTGCCTCCAGAATTTTATGAATTCAATAACACCAACAGTTATATAATCATAATATGAATAATATGATCAATGATCATTATACAGTATTATACAGTATTATACAATAAATTTAGACCAAAGATGCTGCGGCCTCGATGGAATCGGCGTGAGGCCATGGAGGTTTCGGAGCGGCTTGGTGTGAAGATCTGAAACGTCGCCTCCAGAAACTGAAGCCTGGAGAACTCTTCTTGGCACCTGGAGGATGGAGACACAACAAAGGTGCCGGATGCCGGAAATGGGGTGATGATCATCACGTCACAACACATTTTGGAAAAGGAAATCTCGCAAGATCTTGAAATTGCAGGTTCATGAGTGGCTGTAGCTGTAGACATGGCAACAAACGGCTTGATACAAGTGTCCGAGTGATTTGTACAGTGCGGGTCAAGAAGCATGCAGCAAGTGTGCACTTGACGACACCCTCGTCAAGCTTAGAGCCAGTGGGACCGTTCCACCAATGACCCCTGAAGTTCCTGAAGCTCCCTGAAGGTGGCCATGCGATCATATACCTGTTTCAGCGCATCAGCGATTCAGAGCCACTTGACGACATTTAATCAGCGTGCAAAATATGCAGTGAAGGTTTCCTGGAGAGGTCTTAGAGCCGGGCTGGATTTCTTGGTTTCACTTTTTTTGAGTCTTTGCTCGTTTACTTTCATATTTATGTTCTTGCCCTCTGAGCTGTAGTAGCTCAGACATCATTGCACTACGGCAAAGCTGGAGGTTTGTATTGTTCGGACTGAATGCTGAACCAAGTATATAATGCTGGCCTTTGGACACTGTTTGAGACCTGCTGCAGGTATAAGTTTGCAGTGTGCAACACTGGCGAGGGAGTGAATGACCATCCTGAGGACTCAGTGGTGGCGTATCTGTTTGTGCCGGAGACAAGATGTATACCTAAGCATTTGATGGTGCAATCCGCTTTTCATTTGATATCTAAACAGTGCGGCCTGCGTCACCGCTGGTACAGGATGCAGGGGCTGGCGTGTTTCCAAAGGAGAAGCGCGTTACATCTTGGCTTTTGAAGGGCATTCCTCCTGAAAAGATTCTGGACGAGCTGTGGCTCTATTCTCTGTTCAAGACGCTGGGCTGCCATTTTTTGAGCCTGACCCACATGAAGGGATTTGTTGGACTCAAGTCGGGAATTGCTAACAGCTGAGGATCTACTACACGAAGGCTGACCATCACAAGCCAGTGATGCTCTATGAATGTCTACTACCACTGATTCTCCCCAGTGGCGATGTTCGAGAGCAAACAGACACGTCTCTTGCTTAAATCGGAGGGCGCGTGAAAGAGTGAGTTGCACACCTTTCTCAACACAGTCACCAAAAAGCAGATCAGGATGCATAGTGACAATGTTGCTTTGTTGTTCCAACTTGCCACCGCAACGACTCCATTGACTAATGCGCGAACGCAAGCAACTCTGACATAATTTGTCATACCGTGACACTGAAAGCTGTCTGAAGACGGCAAAGAACGTGACTCTCACAGCAGCAATATAATATATATATATAAAGGGAAGAACAAAGTAGAAATCCCATCACAGAAGTTTTAGGAGTCTCAAAAGCACGAATTGATTTTCCATGATTTTCCCAGCTTGACACTCCCTAGACTGAAATATTCAGCACTTGCTGAAACAGGCAAAAAAATGTTGAACGAAACAATTGTGTACAGGGCACAATCATTGAGTGCAGACTTTGCCCCACCAGGCCAGCTCAGATAAAGCCCTTCAAAGCATCTCAATCTTGAGAGCAATATCTTTGGATTTTCAACAAACACATGATTCCAACATGGTCTAGCAGGTTCTAGTCTTGTGTAGGATTGTTCAAGGCCTGTACTCACTCTTATCCAAGTGTAATCATATAAATCGCAACTATGTCATCTATGAATACTGATGAATACTGCCCCCCTTCTGGGCACCTTGGGCAAATCTATAGGTCCTGGTCGACTCCAGCTACATGTCAGCGGGCTGGTTCCTGCGTGGCTCTCAGGTGGATCATTGAATATATGAATTTACATACTCTTTATTATATGTTTTTATGATGAATGTTTTTATGAATGTTTTTCTCCCCATTAGTGGGCATCAACCCAAACAACCTGACATTCCATGTACTTTTAAGCTGGTACGCTTTTGCTGGGACAGACAACCTTTTCCACTGGCAGTCTTTCTATTTCGGGTTGTGAACGGTTGCCGCTAAGGCTACTACAAATGCATCCCTGCAGCTTTGCGACTGATCCTGGGCATCAGAGGTGTTGAGGAGTCAGACAGGCCCAGGATTTGATTGTCTGATTGTTGAACAGGGCTCTGTCAAGTGTCATTGGATGCCAAACAGCAGAAATCCATGACACGAACACTAACAAGAACAAGAACAAGAAGAATAAGAAGAAGGAGGAGGAGAAGAAGGAGGAGGAGGAGAAGAAAGAGAAGAGGGAGGAGAAGAAAGAGAAGAAGGAGAAGAATAATAATAAGAAAAAGAACAACAATACGAGAAGCAAAGTAGATTGCAGCAACATTGAAGTAGTGCGGATGGGCTCAAAACTTTACGAAACAAAAACCTAATGAGACAAGAAAGGTATCAGTAAACGCTGGGCGCCTGCGTTGGAACGAAGAAACTTGGGGTAACACCATGCACCTCTAAAGTTTTAGATTTCACACTGGTCCCCTAAGTGGAAAGGAAACTGAGCTGAAATTTTGCCTGAAGCTGTCTCCAACGATGGCTGAGTGCACATCAACTCTGGGCGCAGGAAGCTGCTGATGTACTTCTTACGTTTGGGGCAGGTGTCCCGCATCCATAAAGCGCTAAAGGATACGCAGTTGGAGGTGCGCCTGGCATGTGGCCGTGCTCATGTCGGAACTTCCGTCCTGGTGGTAGATGGACAATGAAACATCCCAAAAAGGATCGAAAAGGGCCAAGGCAACATGATTTGAAGGACGATTTTGAACCATTTTGAACCTGTATTTTTAGTGCGTCGGATTGCAACAGTGCAATAGAGGCACTGACCGAATCGGACTTCATGGTGGTTGAGTGTGCCTGTCGCCAAATGGCACAAAAGGCAGGGAACTTTTCATGTCACAAGCGTTATTTGAATTTTGGTACGTCAACCTTCAACTTGAAAACACAACAACTCTATATACTTCGCCGAATCAGATCAATATTGGCTTTGTTGCGACACTTGAGCTGAAGGTTCTCTGCCAGAAAAGCATCTCCAGTGATGAGAAGGAGTCAGCACGCCGTTTGATTGCTGAGGTGGATGGCAAGGCTGGATCTCGCCGTCAAAACATCTTACACAACCCCTCAACATGGTGTGCACATGAGCCATTCTTCTCTTGTTTCGGTCTACCATGCCATAGATATTTCATCATATTTCCAATATGTGGCCTGTTGCAGACAATAGTTCTTTAAGGGGCAAGTTGCAATCTGCGGCACCAGGTGGCTGAAGCTCGTGAAGTCCAGCGGCAGGCCTTAGCTGCAAAGGCAGTGGGCATCAGCCGCGGCGTCCCTGAGGCGCCAACGCACCTGAGATCGGATTCGATGGGCTGTGTTCTTACTTTCTGCGTAGGACATGATGACTTTAGATGATTTTTATATGATTTTTGACTTCATATTTCAGCTTCTGTCCATACAGGTAGGGATGTGCAGGAATTGATTGGGTTCAGACGAATCAACTTTAGCAAAATCTGACGTAGAGCCAAGGTAAGTTTATATGTAATAGTTTATATTTATATAGTAATACATAGTAATACATATATATATAATACATACACAATGAAATACATATTTATCATATTTCATTTTCTTAGTGCCTGATGTAATTGGCCAGGACTTCGTGGGATATTCAGGCTTCCCAGGCTGGGAGCTTCTCTCAGTGCCCTGGTTTGGCCGCTCGGATTAGTTGTGGAGTGCCAGCAGCTGTCAAACCTAGATGAAGCAGGCAGATTTAGTCAGGACTTTTTAGGTTTGTTGCGTTGAAGTTTGAAAAACTAAGACAGATTCCACTTGTCCATTTTCCCCCATATCTCTTATAGATCTTTCAGAAAGTCTTGAATCTAGTACGTGGCCACTGCGCACATTATTTTGACATTTGAGGACATGGAAACAAGGATGCATACACCCATTTGATGGGGAGCAAAGACTCTCTCTCGCCTGGCCAACATGCAACTTGAAAGCAGCCAAGACAACCCCCGATTCATTTGACACTACAGGGACAAGCCATGACAAGCCCTTGTAATTGTACCAGTAGTTTGAGCGCAAGAATGTCAAGCAATATGACTCCACGTTTCGAACATTTTCGAACAGTCTGCTCTTTTGCGAACCTAGGTAGACATTGCGGCACTTCGCGAGTGTCTTGCAAAGAATGGTACAAGTTTGTAGACAGATCTCCTCCAAGTTACTTCTCTTGTGCTCCCAGCCTGGCTTATGCAAAGAGTGACAGCAGTCCAGCTAGGCTGAGCGGCTACGATCTCATTTTCGAGACTACCAAAGTTTGTGCGGAGCTCAGTAGATGGCTTTTCTATGCTTTTCTGAATCGTTGTGGTCACAACAAAGACATCGTGAGGCGACAAGTTGGAGAACAATGGCTTGGAAGAGATCAGCAAATTGAGGACTCGCCAAAGAAATCACCTCGCGGAGGCAAAGTGTGTTGGATGTTGGCACTAGCAGCCACTAGCAACTGTTTACCATGGCAGGATTGGCGCGTTGATTGAAGATGTCATGATCCGCCAATTTCCACCCGGTCATGAAGATTGGAAGAAAGACTTTGAACCTTGCCATGTCCAAAGGTTAAGGGTCAAACCAGAGAACCATCAAACCCATTTCCAGAGCATGCCTACGATATTCTACAATATACGTATAGACACCTACAGACAGAAAACTGGGGCGTTCCTATCATGTTTTCACAGATCATACAAGACCTCCTCGAAATCACTTTGACGTCCTGCCTAAGCAGCATTGTCCTGCAAGCATCCATGGAAACAAGATCACTTCTGACAAATCAAGGAGTTTTGATCATTCCACCAGTTGTTTTTTTGAGATTTTTTCAGCTTCATTTTGTCAATTGTCCAAGGACTTGGAGACGCAGAAACATGTTTTGAAGGATCTCTGGCGTCTTACCCAACACTACGTAGCAGCAGTCGCATCTTCCACCACAGCGCGAACGCAAGTGGGAGCACAGATACTGACCATCAGGCCGGGTTTGGCCGGGTTTGCAGAAAAGTCAGCGTAGTCACTCTATGATTACTTTGACATGCTTTGACACTTCTGCCTGATAGAATGATAGGTCTTTGCATGCGGCCTTCGAGACATGTCTCAGGACTCTTACCGCCTGAGAGTGGGACAATTGAATCAGCATCACAACATGGCTAGTTTTCTTTCAGAATTTCGAGGTTTCAAGAGTGACCACATGTGATCATTGTTGCAGGATGCTGCAGTGCCATTCATTCCATGGTGGCCATAATGGCTATGTCTCAAAATTATCACCCCCCCAAAAAGGATAGCCTAGTACTAAGATTTTGTGGGTCCATTGGTGTCCCAATTTTGAGACATGACGGGCCATGCCCAAATGACTCCTTTGTTTCCAGGAGAGCCGCAGAAGACGGCAGCATGCTCCCTACGACGCAAGCCATCATTTGCCCTGTTGGCGGCGATGATCCTGACACCTACAGGCCGTTTGCATTCATAGATTGAAGCTGTCCTTAGCTGTCCTTCAAGCTTCTTTACAGCTTCTTTCAGTCTTTTTGATTAGAAATCTAGGATTTTCTAGCCCGCATGTCGTTGCGGAGTCTTTCACATGGAAACAAGACGCACATTTCATTTCAGCATGTTCAAAGGATGATGGGCGTTTAGATGCATTCACTGAGTGTCCACATTAGCTTGAGTTTTCGCAGGTTGTCATGGAGCTTTACTGGCGTTGCTGATTTCCAGGTGCGCTCAGAAGTGTTGATTCCTTTGAAGGAATGGCTTCAAAGTTTTCGCTTTGTCTCATCGATGACCGCCTTTTGTTATGACCCCCCCAAGGACATAGAACACTTCTGTCGCTTCAAGCTCTCATTGCTTCAGAAAGGGGTGTTTGGTTTTACCACGCAGTTTTTGTGGAGCAGTTTCAGTGCGAGTTGTTCTTTTTCCCTACTGCTGCAGCGGACTTAGTAGTTCTTCTAGTTTTGCAAACAGTTTCAAGGGCTGCAGTGTGCTGCTACTCTCAGAGCTATCGTTGCCACTGATCCACTGTCAATGGATCATCACTCAAACTGAAGGGGCTGTGGACCTCTCTATAGGACTGCGCAAACCGCAGATGCAAGCTTTTCCCTGGGGCACAGCCAACAAAGCGTTTGAATTGAAGCGTGTTCTGTAGAATCTACAAAATGTGCATGTTTGTGCAACATTCTATGTAGACTCATTACATGCGACAGGATGTGCATTCTATTCGTTTGTACATTCCAGGAATCAAACCAAGCTTCTTTGATCCGATAGTCTGTAAAGGCTTGTGCGGCCGCATCGTTTGCACTTTTTCTCCGCACACCAACTGCACTTAGTTTCCTGTCACACGGTCTGTCCAAACCCCGTGCATTACAAGCACCCTTTGCTTCGCAAACCACATCAGGCCTCGTCAGGGTCACGTTCAGGACAGTCCGATTTTCATCATTCGAGTTCGAATATCGGTTTCGAGCGTGGCATTTGAAAATTGCACCGGTACTCGTAGCCTAGCTGTCATTAAAGCATATTAAATTATGATTATGAGGTAATCAATTATCAATCACGACGACACTGCTGAGCTTAACCCCAACTTGATCGTCCTTGCTATTGCACCTGTACTCCCATCCCAATCCCTATCCCAATCCTTGTCTCCATCACCATCACCATCAGCATCGCCACCATCAGCATCACCCTTAACATCAGCATCAGCATCAGCATCGTCACTGTCATTGTCATCCCTAGTTCATGATCATCGTCATTGTCATCGTCGTCGTCGTCGTCATCATCATCATCATCATGATGATCATCATGATCATCATGATCATCATGATCATCATGATCATCATGATCATCATGATCATCATGATCATCGTCATTGTCTTCCTAATCACCACTATATTTCACAAGTGCTATCATTGTGGCCGGTATCTGATAATCATCACCCCGAACCATCTCATATCAGTGTGAAACATGAAGATATTGAATGCGCTTCTCTGCCTCCTCAAGAGTTGAGATGTTGCAGAACCCCGATGAACCCAATCGATGTTCACCCCTTGTCCAGGGCAAGAGCGCTGACAATGCTACAGATGGGCTGCCACTGTCAACACCTGAGCTTGCAAAGGCGACCCCGTAGAAGCCAGGGGAGATCGGACTGGTCGGGACTGGTCGGGACTGGCTACGGCCACAGTAGAACCTTTGTTGATTCAGTGAATCGCATGGTGAATTGAATGACTTTTATTTACTTTTGATATCTTTTGATGATGCTTGAATGAAGAGGTTTGATTCGATGATTGCATGCAATCACATGAACATATATCGGAACATTGTGAGAGGAGCTTTACACGTTCACTTTGCCGATTGTCATCCCTTATAGACTGCGATGACTACGGGTATGCTTGTTTTGTTTCTTACGGAAGCTCAAACTCTTTGACACAGTTTGGCATTGGGTCCCGGAGGCCCGAAACGCGCTGGCACGACATGAAGCTGGCCAAGCAGCCAAGGGAGATGGTGCCTGGGATTCGTCTTTGACGCTTGGCATTGGGTCCCGGGCCCTTGCTCGTTTCGAGTCCACTTCACATCAGATGTTGCTGCAACATGCTGCAACCAGCATCAGACTGACTTTACATCGATGCACAAGTGCTTTGAGTTGATTCGGATGATTTCCCTACTGTTGCTTGTTGAGTTGAATGCGCCATCAAGCAACGTGTTGTCGCTGAACCAGGAATGGTATGAAGTATGATGCCACTGCCCTCAAACCAACGCAGCCAAGCAGCAATGGCAGGAGTAGTGTAGGCCAGATAGTTTGATGCAGATCATCACCGTGATGCCGATGCTTCCCCATGAAGGGTGGTTGACATTGGTCGACCATGGTTGCCGGTCGGTCGGCCAAGGCAAAGCGTGGTCACAGATCTCACCAAGAAAGTGCTGAAGATCATGAGCAACGTCCTGCCACCAAACCACAGCGATGCACCTGGGAAGCAGCGTATACTGCACGGCTGGTCATCATTCTCGTTTTCAATTGTGGTGAGTGATGGGGTTGCTGATTTGCACAAACAATATATAAAACATTATAAAACCATATAAAACCCAAGTTTTCATTGATGTGACTTGAAAAGACTTGATGTGAATTTTTCTGTGAATTGTGGGTTTTTTTGTCAACGATGGCACCGAGGAATGGCCCAAATGGACAATTCCATTTGGCTGGGCCTTGAACTCATCGGGTGAAATCAAAACCAAAGCCCCCGAGTTCTACTGGTGGCGAGACATTTGTGCTGGCAACTCAGAGATGGGCAACTGTTGGTTTGCAGTGGATTCCCTTTTGATCATTTCTGATCATTCACGATCATTTAAATCATCAGTCATGATCATTCTTACCGGCTATTCATATGTAGAGTTTCGAAGCTTTCCACACGCTTCAGAAATTTGTCGAGGTATGGTCCAAATACCTTTGCTTAGATCCTCAATGCAGGCCAGCCTTTCTGCATTTTGCTGGCAAAAAACTCTTGAAATCTCCCAGCATCTCCCAGCATGGCCTCGCTCGTAGGCGATTCAAAGGTGTCTTCACGGCCAACTCAGTGACCATCAACTGGAGGGTGGGCTACTGTAAACCCTGTGAGATCCTGAAGGCGAAGACATGGAAACATTGGAGTGAAACACAGGAGCTTTGCATGTATGGAACTTAGAGATGCTTTAAGGATCTTTAAGGATCTTTGATGTGACCTAGCCCATTTGATAAGGTGAGACTGATACAAGCAACCATGGGACAACGCTTAGAGGCTTAGAGATGGATAATCCCTCACATCAATTGAATGTGCAAGATAAGCGGAAAAAAACATATTGCATTCCACGTGCCTATATCGCAAACTTGACTGCCTACATCCTTGTAGAATGGACATATATTTTTCTTTCTCACTTTTTTCCCTTTTGTTTGAACGCATATTTTTTGTTTGTCCCGTTTTTGCTCCTTTATTATCTCTAAGTCATGGAGTCTTCTTTTCATCGTAGCATGTGGCTGCAAACCTGTGCCATGCAAAGCCTTGCAGGCGCAACCATCAGCACTGAACGGCACTATCAAGTTCGATCAGCTAAGCAAAGGCCAGGATGCTGCGAGAACTTAAGTCTGGCAAAATTCAGCACACATGACATGTTGTTTTTTGTTGTTTTTTTGAATTGATTATTTCAATGACTGCATTTCAACTGTGGCAGGATTCACAACCATCAGTGGCGCCAGCCTTCAAGCTGCTGGTCGGGGACGACAGTTGGAAACGTGCATATCATATCATAACATCATATCATAACATCATATCATATCATATCATATCATATAATATCATATCATATCATATCATATCATATCATATCATCACTCTGCACTGTTCAATTTTGCAAGAGGAAGCAGCGGAGGGAGCATGCCATACCGGGTTCACCCGGTAGCATGTCTTATTTTGCTCCAAGATGTGAGGGATGAAAGTTGCAGGCCTGGAAAAGGCGATCTCCGAAGACGATGTGATACATGCACCCACTTTGCCAACCTTTGGTCAGGCTGCCGCCCCCGGGTGTCAAGAACAGACTAAAACAGATGAAACATATAAGCCTGGGAAAATTGAAAGGGATCCTTGGAGGTATCCGATTGAATAAGGGCACAATGTGTGAAATGGAACGAGATAGTTTGCTTCTAATCCAATTTTGTTATCCAAAAATCCGTTGACAATTTCCACACTAGTCCAATTGCTCCAGTGCTTCAGGCCCTCGCCCAAGAAGAAGCCGAGCATGTACCAAGCTCAACCTTTGGTTACCGTGGTCAGTGAAACATTTCAAGTGATCCAGTGGTATTTGGTCCTGCACTGCACAGATGAAACATCTGTTGGGGCGTGGCTGCCATGGCCAGATAGAAAGATTCCCCGAATGCGTTTGACATGGGTTGGCATCCCAAACTCTGATTTTTGTATGTCTCATATGCCATGCCATGTGCAGCGCACGAGGTGCTCAGCGCTCTTACAACGCCCTACCTGCGAATTCCGTTGCTTCTGCACTTCCTTGCAGCGGACCGCTTGCACGCATTGAAACAGACGTGGCTGAGATGCACTAGAGTCACTAGAGCTTGAGATTTGACCTCACAGAATTGATTTTAATGTTGGATGCTGATTAGTGTAGGCCCCCCCTAAACAATTCTGAGACACTCTTTAACGTGTTTTTTTTAGGGGCCGCCTACTGAATAAAATTGGATCAATTGATTTCAATTGGTTTCACTTTACTTTCAATTGATTTCAATTGATTTCAATTTACTTTCAATTAATTTCAATTTACTTTCAATTGATTTCAACTGATTTAAATTTTCTTTCAATTGATTTCAATTTACTTTCAGCTGATTTCAACTGATTTAAATTTTCTTTCAATTGATTTTCAATTGATTTCAATTGATTTTCAATTGATTTCACTTGATTTCAATTGATTTCAATTGATTTTCAATTGGTGTCAATTGATTTTCAATTGGTGTCAATTGATTTTCAATTGATTTCAAATGTTTCGTTTCCCAACTGATTTCAATTGATGTTCAATTTATTTCAACTGATTGCAGTTTACTTTCAATTGGTTTCAATTTACTTTCAATTGATACTGTATCAATTGACCCCAATTGATGTTCAATTGGTTTCAATTGATTTTCAACTAATTTCAATTAATTTTCAATTG